CTTCTCCGGGAGCTCATCCCTCACGTAGGGCAAGGGCCCAATCCTCTTCTCTGACTCCGCTGGGGGATGGGGCTGGGCCGCTGTCTCCCTGCCCCGGCCCGGCAGAGCGGGGGACCAGGGTCTTCTCCAGCCTAGCAGACCCGGCACCGACCCCCAAACAGCAGGGAAGGACAGAGGAGAAAGCAAGTCCCTCCACTCTTAGCTCGACTCAGCACTGTCAGAACCAACGGGCTGCCTTAGAGCAGGGCTTGGGGACTGGAGGCTGGGACACAGCTTGTGACCCTTCGTGCCAGAGGGGAGGTGTCCTGCAGAGTCCGTGTGGGCATATCTGCGGCCCCCGCCGGGGCACACAGCCCCCCCCCAGCATAAAGGGCAGAGCCAGGCGGGGTGGGGGAGGGGGTGACCCTGCTGGATGGGCCCAGCGAAGCCAGTGCCTTGGGCGATGCCCCCTGGGATCCCAAAGGGGTCCTTCACACTCAGGGAGGCCAAGTAAGGTTCTCCCAAGCGTGAGCCCTGGGGAGTGCCATGGGCGAGGGGTCAGCGCATGGACAAAGGCCTGAGCTCCCACACAGCTGAGACCGGGCCCTGGGGGTGGGGGACCCAGCGCTGGCCACACGCCCACTCCCTTGCTCGACCCCACCTGAGCCGGCCCCCGGCAAGCTGGGCTGCCCCCAGGGCCCCACCATGGGGCTGGTCCAAGCCCCCCGACTCCCGGCGTGCTCCGTGGGCTTCTGGGGGTAAGCAGGCAGCCCAGGCGTGGGACCGGGGAGAGTGAGGGGCAGATGGCAGCCGGGTGCCGTGGCCGTGGGCGTGGTCCCTCTCTGGAGGCGCCTCTGATCTCTGCGCCGTGCCCCGCCCGAGCCCGCACCTGCCCAGGGATCTCCCCGTGCCGCTGCCTCGGGCCGGCTCACACCGTGGACCCCGCGTGACACACGTCAGGACACGTCCCGTCGTTCCCGCTCCCATCCTGGAAGCGGAGCTGTGACGGCTGGGTGTCTCCCAGCGGGGTCACCGCAAGGCGGGGCCGGGACCAAGAAGCCCCCCACCCCGCCCAGCTGGCGGCCCAGCAAGGCCCCAGTGGCCCTTGGACATGTGTCCTATGAAAAAGAAAAACTGGCCCGGGAAGCAGCGGGCGGCAGGGGCTCCCACCCGAGCTGTGTGCAGGCCTGGCCATGACGCTGGCCAGGACAATGCCAGGGATGGCCTTGCACTTGGCCACACCCCCGTCCAGAAGGGGTCAAGCCCCCCTGTGGCATTGCTGAGGGGCCAGAAGCACGGTCGGCAACAACATTTCCAATACTTGGACCAGCACAGGCGTGGGCCTGCATCATACGTGCACTCTGTATGTGCGTCTCTTCCCAGATGTGTGTCTGGACCATGCATTGTGTTGTGTGTGTCTGGATCATGCACATGTGTCGTCTGTGATTCTGGATCTTGCGTGTGTGTTGTGTGTCTGCATCATGTGTGTTATGTATGTCTGGATCTTGCATGTGTGTTGTGTGTCTGGATCATACATGTGTTGTGTGTGTCTGGATCATGTGTGTGTTGTGTGTGTTATGTGTGTGTCTGGATCATGTGTGTGTATTGCGTGTGTCTGGATCATGTGTGTGTGTTGTGTGTGTCTGCATCGTGTGTGTGTGCTGCATGTGTCTGGATCATGTGTGTGTTGTGTGTGTTATGTGTGTGTCTGGATCATGCGTGTGTATTGCGTGTGTCTGGATCATGTGTGTGTTGTGTGTCTGGATCTTGCATGTGTGTTGTGTGTGAGTCTGGATCATGTGTGTTGTGTGTGTCTGGATCATGTGTGTGTTGTGTGTGTGTCAGGATCATGCATGTGTGTTGTGTGTGTCTAAATCGTGTGTGTGTTGTGTGTGTGCCTGGGTTATGCATGTGTGTTGTATATGTATCTGGATCATGCGTGCGTGCTGTGTGTGTGAGTCTGGATCACATATGTGTGTTGTGTGTGTCTGGATCATGTGTGTGTGTTGCGTGTATCTCTGCATGCTGGAACTTGACCTGCACTTAGCCTGTGATCCCGCTGCCATGCCCCGAGCCATGTCCCCGGCATCCCTGTGTGGCGCCCTCAGGGCTGAGCCTGACACTCTGTCCACTAGGCCACAGGGAAACGCAACCCCGTGCCCTTGTCTCAGCTCAGGACTGAAGCCCATGTCGGTGGGTTTCTGACCTGGGAACTGAAGAAAAGCCAGAGGTCACGGCAGGAAGGGCCCACAGTGGCCCCGGGGCGGGTGAGCTGGCCGCCATGCTGGGGGAAGCACAGTGCCCGGGGCCACCAGACGACGGGGCCAGATGCCCGCTGCCCGCCACGGGTACCAGGCACAGGCAGGAGGCGGGACAGGTGTCCGTCGGTCCATCTGAGGAAGCACAGGGGCCGCCGAGGCGCGGGTTCAACGTCCAGTGCCTGAGGACACAGCCTGGACCCCCGCGGGAGCTCCTGTCCCCGTCGGATCTGTGCTGTCTGTGGGGCAGCCGTGCCCCGACCCTCCTGGGCCTAACCCCCGCTTGGTCAGAGAAGCCCTTGGGCTTCCGGGGTCCTCAGGGCCGCCCTGGGCAGGGTCCCATGTCCTGGCTGAGACTTGCCCCCCACCCGCCCCCGCGACCAGCAGGTAGCAACCACCGGACCCTCAGACTGCAGGAACCCACCCCCCAGGCACCCTTCCCATCCTGTCAGCCAGGCAGTCAGCGGGCTCTCTGCCTCTGTCCGCCTCTGCCTCTGTCTCTCTCTGTGTGTCTCTCTGTCTCTCTCTCCCCCTATCTCCCTTCCCCTTTCTCCCTCTCCCCCCCCTCTCTCCACCTCTCTGTCTCTCTCTCCCTTTCTCTCTTTCTCCCTTTCTCTCTCTCTCTCTCTCCCTCTCTCTCCATCTCTCTGCCTCTGTCTCTGTCTGTCTCTTGTCTTTGGGCTGCTGCGTAACAAAAATCTTAGCACCAGTCACACAGGACGCTGTAGCCCCGAACATGCTCCCTGCGTCTGTGACTGGGCCCCGTGGCCGACCCTCTGGTCTCAGGAGAGGAGGAAATCTCTCCTGAGGCCAACAGTCCGATAGTCACAGAGTTTCAGGGTCCCCATCATGCTCCAGGAGCCGCCCACGCAGGGCAGGGGCAAATATTTGGGCCAAATGTGACCCCGCGCAGAGTCTGGAGAGGCCTGGGCGGGCTAGAGGGGGCTAGAGGGGCCTGGGGGGGCCTGGAGGGGGCTGGAGGAGCGTGAAGGGGGCTGGGTGCCCCTGACAATGAGCTTTTGATTTTCCTGTTTGGGTCACACCCAGTGATGCTCAGGGGCTACTCCTGGCTCTGCACTCAGGAATCTCCTGGTGGTGCTTGGGGGACCCTACGGGATGCCGGGGATTGAACTTGGGTCGGCCACGTGCAAGGCAAATGCCCTCCCCCGCTGGGCTGTCGCTCTGGTCCTGTGAAGCATCTTTTTTTTTGACTGCATGGGCGTCCACCCAGCGAACGCATTGGACAAAACTCTGTGGACGTGTGCGTCCCTCCCCACCCACCAGCTCGGCCCCTGGCATTGACCCCTTGGAGCTGAAAACGTGTGTCCACAACCCAAACCCACGCAGGGGCATGTGGCAGCTTCGAGCCCAGATGGCCACTCTGGGGGGTCGCCAGGGTGGTGGGGGCTGAGCGCAGGGCCTCGAGGGTCCCGAGCGGGGCTGGTCAGTGCGTGGCAGTGACCCGGCCTCATGGCGCGGGAGTGCCAGTGCGTGGACGTGGACAGGCAGCGGGAAAGGGGCTGCCTGGAGGGCCGGAACGCAGTGGCCACCGCGGCACTTGGGAGCCGGCTTCAAACACACACTGAGCTGCACAGAGACCCCCGGGGAAGACAGGCGTGGCGGGGTGCCCATGGCAGAGGGTCGACCCCCACTGGCCTGGGCGTCCAGACCCTGGTCCCCCTGCCTCCACGGCACAACACCCCCCGCTGTCCCCAGACACGGTGGTCCTAGGGGGACCCTGAGGGGCACCCAGGGAGCAGAGGGAGTGCTGGGACTAGGGTGCAAATGGGGGGACCCAGGGCGGGCACAGCCCAAGGCAGGGTCGCTCTCTCCTCATGGTAGAACCCCCTTCGAGGGCCCCAGCAGACCAGGCCTGGGCCGGGAGGACTGGAGAGGGCCCCGCGCACACCCCGGGCGGCTGGAAGGGGCCCACCCAGCTGCTCTGTCATCAAATTTTTCTCTGACCCCAGGCAGATGTGGGGCGGCCCCTCCCCTCCCCCCGCGGAGGGTGAGGCTGGAGGGTCTGGCCGGGGGGCTTCAACTCAGCCCGAGGGTCCCCCCATTTCCCAAGGACCTTTCAGCCACCGCCCCAGCCTGTGTGTGTTGGGGGGAAGGGGAGGTGAGTTAATGACACGTCTAAATGCATCAGCAAAAGTGGGGTGCCCTCCGAACCCCTGGGCCTCACCCAGCCCCCAAGCCTTCCCCACCCTGCACCCAGAGGCAGCAGCAGGACCCCGTGCGGGTCCTGTGCCAGCCTTGCCCCCATCAGCCGTGGTGGTGTAGGGCTGGAGACCAGTTATTCGGAAAGGACCGTTCCTCTCTGGCGGGAGCGCAGGGGGCCCCTCCCCTCAGGGCTGCCCTTCCCCCACCGCCCAAGGTCTGCGGGCCTTGAACACGTCAGGGGTCCCGCTTGCCCCAACCTGGGGACCCTGGAACCGCTAGAGCCCTGATCCTGAATGCTGGGGGTGGGGGGGAGGATTGAAGCACCCCTAGTCCAGAACAGGGGGTCTGAGGTGCCCCTGAGCTCATGGGCTCAAGACCGGGGCACCCAGATGCGTGGTTTTGCTGAGGGAGCCCATCCCCGCCTCATTGTGCAGGGGGCACCCACTGGAGAGTCCTCAGGAGGCAGAGACCCCAGCCTGGGGCAAAGCCTTGGCGTGGCCCAGCCCGTCCACCCCCGCCCCCCAGCCCCCAGCCCCTGAGTGCTGAGTATCTTGGTGCGAGGCTGAGACGGGATAACACACAGAGACAGGATAACGTTTTCATCCTTTTTATTCAGAACCCGGCAAAGGAGCTCGGGTGGTTCAGAAGGGCGGACCCTCTGAACAGATTTGTCTTCAAGTTCAAAATCAAAGTCATGAACAATCGATTCGAAAACCAAGTCACGGACAATCAATTCAAAAACCAAGTCAAAAACCAAGTCAAAAACCAAGTCAATCAATTCAAAAACCAAGTCAAAAACCAAGTCACAGACAATCAATTCAAAATCAAAGTCGTGGTCAATCAATTCAAAATCAGAGTCATGGACAACCAATGAGCATCAACCGAGTGGGCATCGAGTGGGCATGGTGGTCTGGACTGGCACTGGTGGAATGATGGTGGTGGCAGGAGGAACGCGGAGAGGGTGAGCGCGGGGCCTGTCAGCTGGATGGTGAGTGGGCTGTGGGCTGGGGCGAGGCTTTGGGGGCCGATCAATCAATTGGCAAAGTGGAGGCCAGATCGGGCGGGGTGCCTTTGGCATGACCAATGAGGGCCCAGCGTGGAAGGGCGGCCCAGGCCTCCACATAAATACAAAATATAACTTAGTATAACTTTAATTTTTTTTGTACAAATATACAGGGTTTTCTCTTTTCTCCTTTTTTCCCTTTTTCCACGGTGGCGTGCGTGTGCGCGTGTGCGTGTGTGTGTGGTGTGTGGGGTTTTGTTTTGTATTTTTTTTCTCTTGGCACTGAGATTGGCAGGGGTTCCGCATTTCGTGTAAGTGACTCTTTAAAGCTTTCCACCTTGGGGCCCGTGTTCTCCTCCTGCACAAAACGGTTTAGGGGGACGGTCTGGAGACATCGCAGAGTTGGCCAAGTTGGGAACGCAGCCGGGCGCGCGTGGCCCCCGCTGCGTGCGCGGCCCCAGCCGAGGCCCCGCGCTCCTGCTCTTCTCTCCCTCTCCGCTGCGCTGCCCGGCGGGTCGGCTCCGGGCTCCGTCCAGGGGGCACTCACTGCGGGAGAGGCCACAGGGGGGTCGTGAGCCGCGCGCGCGCCCCGCCCGCCCCCGCCCGCCTCCCGGGCCGCGCGCCCACCTCCTCATCGCAGGCGCTTGCGCGGCGTCTGCTCCGCCGGGCCCACGGCGGGAGCAGCGGCCGCGGGGGCGCATCCCGCGGGCACCTCGTTGGAGGCGGACTTGTTGTCGGGCGCGGGCCGTTTGCGCTTGGCGAAGAAATCTGCGGGCGACAGCGCGAGCAGCCGGTCAGGGCGCGGCGCGGCGGGCATCCCTGCGGGCGGGAGGACGCGGAGGCGGTCGGCACGGGGGGCGCGGCGCTGTGTCAGCGTTCCTGCCCCCTGTCCCGCGGCCAAGACCCCGGGGCGCGCGCGCCCGCCCCCGCCCGCGCGCGCGCCCGCCCGCCCTCGGGGCGGGGACCCGGACCCCCGGCCGGCCGGACAAAGCGCGCGCGCGGGGCGGGGCCGCGCGCACTCACCGGAGAGGAGCGACCCGGGCAGCTTCTTGGGCGCGGCGCCGGCCGCGGCGGTGGACGGGCCGGCCGGGGCGGGCTCGGGCGCGGGCGCGGGCGCGGGCGCGGGCGCGGGCGCGGGCGCGGGCTCGGGCGCGCTGGGCGGCGGCGGCGGCGGCTCGGCCGCGGGCTCCTCGGGCTCGGGCGGCGGCGGCGCGGCCGCCTCGGGCGCGGGGGCCGCCGCGGGCGCGTCGCTGCAGGGCGACGCGGGCGCCTCGGCCGGGCCGTCGAGGGCCTCGGCGGCGGCCGGCGGCGCGGGGGGCGGGTGCTCGTCCGCGCCGGCCGGGCGGGGCCGCGGCGCCAGCAGCAGGCGGCAGCGCCCCACCTGCACCGTCTCGCGGTAGAAGGCGGGCACCGAGTCGCTGTCCACCTCCGTCCACTGCAGGCGCCCGGGGCCGCGCAGAGGCACGTCCTGCTGGAAGTTGTAGTCCCAGCGGCGCTGGTCCTCGGCGTTGAGCTCGGCCAGGCGCAGCTGCAGCTCGCGGCTCAGCTCCTCGTGGTCCACCGGGCCGAAGAGGCTGCGGCAGGCGCTGGAGCGCGCCAGCCCCGGGAAGCTGCGGCGGGAGACCAGGCGCTCCATGGCCAGCGATCTGCGGGGACACGCGGGCGGGCGGTGGGCGCGGGGACAAGGGCGGGCGGGCGGGAGGGCGGGCGGGCAGGGGCGCGGGGCGCGGCGCTACCTGGCTGATGGGCCCTGGGCTGCACCGCTCGTCGCGTCCGGCCGCGCCCCCTCCGTGGCCACGGTCCTGGCGGGCTCGCTCGTCGCCGGCTGGCGCTGGCTGGGCTGGCACCCACCGAGCGCGGAGCACTGGCCTGTGGAACGCCCAGCCCTCGCGCGCCCCTTTATACGCGAGGGTCGCGGCCGCCCCCCCGCCCCCCGCGCGGGCCCCGCCGCGATTAGCATAATGTAGTATTTTCAGTTTCAACAACACCCCGGCCATTGGCCCGCGCCGCGCGCGCCCCGCCCCGCCGGCCGCCCCGCCCCCGCGCGCCGCCCATTGGCCCGGCGCGCGCCCCTGGGCGGCCGGGGCGCGCGCTGATTGGCGCGCACGGCCGGGGCGCGCGGGCGCGGGGCCCGGGGGCGGCGCGCGGGGCGGGGCCCGAGTTAAAGGGCGCTGCGGGCGGTAACGCGACACCGCGGCGCCCCGCCCCCTCGGCCCATCTCCCCCACCGCCCCCCCCCCCCGGCCCGCGCCCGCCCCCCGCCCCGCCACCTCCTTTGTCTGCCGGCGGGGGCTTCGCGGCGACGACGCGGGCGCCCCCGGCCCGGCCCCGCGCGCGCGCGCCCGCCCGCCCGTGTGCCCGGACGACGACGCCCGACGGGCGCGGGGTGCCCCCGGCCCGCGGCTCGCCCGCGCCGGCCGCGCCCGTGCCCGCCGCGTGCGGACCACGGGCCGCGCGGCGCCCCGCGCCCACCTGCGGGGCGCGTGCCCCCCGCCCCCACCCCGGCCTGCCCTTGAACCCGCCCCGCCTCGACGGGAAGCGACGGGCAGGTGCCCGCGGGCCCCGCACGGCCGCGCGCCCCCCGCGCTGCGCCCCGAGCGCGGGGTCCGGCACCCTCCCCCCCCACACACAGCCCAGCGTCTGCCCGAGGAATCGTGCGGGTTGTCGGGGAAGGGACCTGGACGCTTGCCAGGGCCTGCGGCCAGGGGGCCCGACTGGGGAGGGGGCGGGGCGGGGAGGCAGCCCGCGGGCCGGGGGCTGGCAGAAGACCCCCCCCAGCCTCGGAGGCGCACGGGTGCGCCCCGGCCCTCGCGGCCGGACCCCAGGCCGCCGCGTTGGTCACTCTCTTCAAGTCCTTTCCGATCCGACGTTGTGTCCGGAGTTAGCAGCCCCAGGGGAGGGGGCTTCCGTTGCTGACCCCCGGGGCTCTGGGCCCGGCCGCCGCCGTCGGCGGGGGGCACCGGGGGCCGACAGGGGCCCACCACAACCTCCGCTGCCACCTCGAACCCTGGGCCACAGAGAAAAGTACCCCCGCTCCAGCTGTGGGTGTGGACACAGGCTTCGAAGTGACGGCCCCCCCTCCCCAGGGCTGCCTACCCGGACTAGCCCCCGTCTGCTGGGTCCCCAAGGCCAGGGGTCCGGGCCTGGGCCCGCCCCTCCCGCCCCTCCCCTGCAGCCTCAGGTCCCGTCCTTCTGTCTCCCGGAGCGGGACTCAGGCCGCAGGGTCCCGGGTCCCCTGCAGGGACAAGCCTGCGCGCGTGGCACCCCGAGCCTGAGCTGGTGTCGCATGTCCCCACACGCCCGGCTTTCCCGCCCCGCCGGGACCCCCGGCGCCCACCCTCCGCCCGGGAGGTTCCCGCTTGCCCGCGCCCCGCCCGTCTCTGCTGCGTTCTGCTCGCCCGTGACCCTGAGCCGGTGCGGGTGGGTTCTTGAACCCGGGCCAGAGTCCCCCCTCCCTCCCCGCACCAGAGACAGGCCTAGGGGGGAGTCTCGAGTCCAGTCCCGCACCCCCAGGCCCCGGTAAGTGCACACATGAGTCTGGATGCTACTTTTGCAATTAAAAATGTATCTGAGGGAAGAAAGGAAACAAAAGAAGCAATGTTTGCGGTCTCGCGAGGCTGCCCACCGGGAGGGGTGCTGGTCCCCGCTGGGCTGGGGGGCCACTGGGGGCCTTTGCCGAGAGGGGCTACAGGCCGGGGGGAGCTGCGGAGAGGCCGGCCTCGCCCCTTTCTCTTTCCTATGAGCGGAGCGCACAGAGTGGTGGGTGCCAGGGAGCCCCACGCCGGGCCCCTCACGGGAATGGCCACGCAGCCCCCTCCGCTGGCCGCCGGCGTCCCCGGGGCACCCTGGGCAGCTGCGTTCCCAAGTGGCTGGAGCGGGCACCCCCGGAGGCCCCCCGCAGCCCGCTGCAGCTCAGCGGGAGGCAGCGGGAGTGAGGCGCAGTCTGGACTCCGGGGCTCCTGCCTCCCGCCCGGGGCCGCTGCTGTCCAGGGCCCGGCGCGTCCCGTCCCGGGTGAGAAGTTGAGCGGAATAGCAGGACACGCTGGAGCTGGGTGGGGGCGGCCCGCCCCGGCCCTAGCGGGCTCCCCTCGGCGCAGCGCTGTTCTGCAGGTTTGCACTTGGAAACTGAGGCCCTGAGGGGAACACTTTCCCGGCCAGTTTGCTGCGCCCAGAAGGTGCCGGGCCCCGTCCTTGGGCCCATGCTGCCCCCTGGCGGCCGGCGCCGCGACTGCGCCCACCTCCGAGTGTCCACGTGGAACTGCTCCCCAGCCCACCGCGGAGGCCCATGCAGGGGCCAGGGCGGGCGCCTGCTCCAGAGGCCTGGGGAGCCGGCCCTGCCCGGCCCCTGGATGGACCCTGAGGAGACGGCCCTGCCCGCCCCCTGCACAGGCGGTGCCTGCTACTCTCCAGGCCCCAGTATTCTCCGGGCCCCAGTACTCTCTAGATCCCTCCCAGTACTCTCCAGGCCCCAGTACTCTCCAGATCCCCCAGTACTCTCTAGATCCCCCAGTACTCTCCAGACCCCCCCAGTACTCTCTAGATCTCCCAGTACTCTCCAGGGCCCAGTACTCTTTAGACACCCCAGTACTCTCCAGGGCCCAGTACTCTTTAGACACCCCAGTACTCTCCAGGGCCCAGTACTCTCTAGATCCCCCAGTACTCTCCAGGGCCCAGTACTCTCTAGATCCCCCAGTACTCTCCAGGTCCCAGTACTCTCTAGATCCCCCAGTACTCTCCAGTACCCAGTACTCTCCAGATGCCCCAGTACTCTCTAGATCCCTCCCAGTACTCTCTAGACACCCCAGTACTCTCCAGACCCCCCAGTACTCTCTAGATCCCCCAGTACTCTCCAGGTCCCAGTACTCTCTAGATCCCCCAGTACTCTCCAGTACCCAGTACTCTCTAGATCCCCCAGTACTCTCCAGTGCCCAGTACTCTCCAGATGCCCCAGTACTCTCTAGATCCCTCCCAGTACTCTCTAGACACCCCAGTACTCTCCAGACCCCCCAGTACTCTCTAGATCCCCCAGTACTCTCCAGTTCCAAGTACTCTCCAGACCCCCCCAGTACTCTCTAGATTTCCCAGTACTCTCCAGGGCCCAGTACTTTTTAGACACCCCAGTACTCTCCAGGCCCCAGTACTCTCCAGACCCCCCAGTACTCTCTAGATCCCCCAGTACTCTCCAGTTCCCAGTACTCTCCAGACCCCCCCAGTACTCTCTAGATCTCCCAGTACTCTCCAGTTCCAAGTACTCTCCAGACCCCCCCAGTATTCTCTAGATCTCCCAGTACTCTCCAGGGCCCAGTACTCTTTAGACACCCCAGTACTCTCCAGTACCCAGTACTCTCTAGATCCCCCAGTACTCTCCAGTACCCAGTACTCTCCAGATGCCCCAGTACTCTCTAGATCCCTCCCAGTACTCTCTAGATCCCCCAGTACTCTCTAGACACCCCAGTACTCTCCAGACCCCTCAGTACTCTCTAGATCCCCCAGTACTCTCTAGACACCCCAGTACTCTCCAGACCCCCCAGTACTCTCTAGATCCCCCAGTACTCTCCAGTACCCAGTACTCTCCAGACGCCCCCAGTACTCTCTAGATCTCCCAGTACTCTCCAGGATCCAGTACTCTCTAGACACCCCAGTACTCTTCAGGGCCAAGTACACTCCAAGCCCCAGTACTATCTAGATCCCCAGTACTCTCTAGATTCCCCCCCCCGTACTCTCCAGGGCCCAGTACTCTCCAGACCCCCCAGTATTCTCCAGGCCTCAGTATTCTCTAGACCGGTCAGTACTCTCCACGCCCCAGTACTCTCCAGACCCTCCCAGTACTCCCCAGGGCCCAGTACTCTCCAGACCTCCCTACTATTCCCCAGGCCCCCATCCTCTCCAGCCCCCTTATTCCCCAGGTTCCTTTATTCTCCATGAGGCCCATGTCCAGGGCACCCCTAGAGTGCCCAGGCGGGGGCCTCAGGTTCTGGGAACCCCAGAAGTCTTACTGCCCGTCTTGCTGAGAGGTGACATTAGCTCAGAGAGGGCTTAGTGACCACCCTGGAGCTTCCCAGCATTGCCCTGCCCCCTCCCCCGGCTCCTGCCGGGGGCCAGTGGTCACAAGAGCCAGAGGAAGTCGAGGGTCCCAACCGTCCCTCTCCAGCGGCGGCCACCTGAGGTGGGCGCAGCTGCCTCTCGCCACGCCCAGCGGGTGCAGATTCTGGGGGTGCAGCTGCCCTCTGGGCTGTGGCTCCCCGGGGACAGCCCCACTAGCAGCTCCTAGACATGATGGCGGGTTGGGGGCTGTCCTGCATTGGGGGAGGCCGAGAGAAGCCCCAGTTCTCCGGGGCTGTGCTCCCCGGCCCTGTGGACGGGAGGCGGGCAGGAGTCAGCCGGCGTGGGCAGGGACAGGGGGGGCTCAGCTTGAGGGTGACGCTGCCTCGGGTCCTTCTCGGCCCATCCGGAGCCCCCGTGGCCTCCTGTTGGAGTCTACACCACCAAGCCCCCAACTTCCAGGCTGGCCGTCCGTCGTCTACCCGTGGGTGCAGCAGACTTCCCACGGCACCCACACCCCCACGAGAAGCGGGGACAGGGGTCGAGGCTCTCCTGGCCTTCAGGACGTGAGTCAGCCCCCCAGGGCCCACAGCTGGCTCGCGTTCCTCTCTCCCTCCTGGCCTGGGCCGCTTCCTCACACCCGGTCCAGGGAGGTGAGCCTCGCAGGCCCCCTGCCCCGCGGAGCCCGGCCGGACCCAGCCCATCCCCTGGCCCGGGGGCCACCGTGCCACGCAGCCACTGAGCGGAGGTTCCGGGGCCGGCGTCTGTCGCCCCCTGGTGGCCGCGGGCGGCACTGCCGCTGCCGCCGCGACCCTCCACCCGCGGCCGCCGGACGGACCCCGCCTCCTGCCACCTCATCGCATCCTGCCGCCGCCCCGCCTGGGACCCGCTTCCTGGGACTCGGAGCCCTCGGGGTCCGAACGAGGGGGCTCAGCCCACGCGGGCCGGCACCGGGGCGGGGGGCCTCGCTTCCAAGCCCCCCGACACCCCCGGCTCAGGCGCTCCCTGGGGGGCGGGGGGCGTGGGGAAGGAGCTGACCCGGCGGAGGGGCGGTGGGCCCGCCCCTTCCCGCTCCTCCTCTTCCCCTTCCTGGCCCGCCGCGGCGGCGCTCCGTGCAGCCCGGCCGGGGGGCGAGGTCCGCTGGCCGCCCCCTGGACACCGCGCCCCCCCCCCCCGCCTCTCCCCGCGGGCTGCGGCTGAGGGCGCTGGGTTGGCCGCACCCAGGGGTGCCCGCCCCTGGCCCACTCCTGGCTCTGTGCCCAGAGGTCAGCCCTAGAGGGCGTGAGGGACCACAAGGGGTGCTGGGAATCGAACCTGGGTCTGCCGAGTGCGAGGCAGACGTCTTCAGTCGCCCCCAAGGCGGGCTGATGACCCGAGGGAAGCGGGGTCCCCCACCCCGGGCCAGCCTGGGTCAAGCAGGCGCCCTGATCCTCTTCAGGGCCAGGGCGTGTCCAGCATCGTTTGAGAGAGGAGGGCGCGGCTCCAGAGGTGGAAGAGAGCCGGGGGCAGGCAGGGGGACGCGGGGGACCCCCGAGGGGTGCCAGGCCTGAGGTCTGATGGGGCCGGGAAGGGGTAATGGGAAGGCTGTGGTGTGGGCCCTGGCGCCCTGGGCAGGGGATGGCACAGAGAAGGGGGCCAGTTGCCCTGGGCAGGAGCCCCCCGGGGCACGGGTGCCCCCCAGACCGCTCTCAGGCACGCAGGAAGGAGATTATTTCCATGTGGACTGCCAGGCGGTCTGTCACGGGCTCCAGGGACCTGCAGCTTGGACGTCCAGTGCCTGGGGTCCCTCCCGAGGGGTGCTGCTACAGGCCAGTCCCATGCCAGGCACCCAGGACAGGCAGGCTGCAGGGGACCCGGGGTGGGTGTCCTGGGAGGGCGCCCAGGATTCAGCGGCACAGATGTAGGGGAGCCCGGGACCCCCACCTCGCCCCTGGCTGGCACGGACTTCCTGGGGGCCAGGGGCAGACCCTGAGGCCTCAGTCCCTTGCACCTCTGTTCCTTGCAACCCGCATCTGACTCTGCCCCTTCCTCCAAGAAGCCCCGTCCAGACCCACCCCCAAAGCTGATGCCAACACTCCAGCTCCAGAAGGTTCCTCAGCCCCTGCCTTGCAGCCTCCAGCGCCTTCAGACACCTCCACAGGCCCAGGGCTGTATCCCTGCGGTTTGCAGTGTGAGGCGGGGGTCTCCAAGCTCCCTCCCGCCAAGCCCCCACCCGCTTCTGGTGCGGGGCACCCCCTGGTGGCCACAGTCTGAAACTGCCCCTCATCTCTGGGGGGGCGGGTGGGGGTGAGTTAAGGGACGGGGAGCACCCACTCCTGGCCCCACAAAAGGTGACCTGGGGATAAGAGGGCATTCAAGCCTCCCCACAGGCCTAGCCCTGGGCTCATGGGGGCCAGGACCCGGACCTTGGCTCTGCGTGTGGACACCCCCCTGACTCTCACCTCCAACTCGACAGGCCCTCCCCTCCGGGAACCCTCCCCCACAGCCAACGCCCCGACCTGCCAGGAGCCTCCCTCTGCTGGTCCCAGATTGGCACAGTGTCTGGGAGCTTCTTCCGGAACCTCGGACCCGTTCATGGTGTAGCTCACTCATATGCCCTGCTCCCTCCACCCCCCCCCAACCCCTGTGTGGAGGATTCCTGGAGCAGGGGTGAGGTGGGGCAGACACCGCCCAGAGCAGAGCCTCGGGGGCACTGCACTCAGTGCAGGTGGCCAGGCACGCTCACACACACATGCCCAGCACACAGGTGCCCAGGACATGCACTTGCCTGCACACGCACACATCTGCACACAGACACACTTGCTGGCACCCATGTGGGCACCTGGACTTGCACAGACACACACACACACACACACACACGCTCCCCAGCAGCACCATATCACGCCCCCCCCACTAATGCTGGGGTCCCCCTGCGGCCAGCCTGCAACTCACACCCCCACTTAGCCGGAGGAGCAAGACGACATCTGGCCGATCTGAGGGACACACCTTGTCACGCCTTTGGGCTGCAGTGACCACCTTTTATCCTGTTCCCAGGCTTCCTGTGCTATAGGCTCCCAGGGCCTTTCCATGATCGTCCCATGATCTGGGGGCCCTCAGCGCCCCCAGCCCCAAGAACCCTGTCTCTGCCGCATTTAGGGTCTGTGGTACTCTGACACCCCAACGCGGGCTTCGTCCTCACTGTCCCCTCTGCCCAGTGGGCCCATAGCACCCCCTCTGAGAAGCCTCCTGCCCACCCACCCCCCACCCGCATCAGCCAGAGCGAGGTCAGTGGCCCCGGGGCTTCCCGGGCTGTGCAGGAGGGTCCCCCAGGCACAGGACTGCCGCGGGGCAGTGGGGCTCCCCTGGCCTGGGCCGGCCCAGGCCGTTTTCCCACGCTGGTACCAGGAAGCGCAGCCCCGCCTACACCTGGTCACAAAAAAACCCGGCCCAGATCCCATTCTTCCGCTCAGACCAGTTCCTCAGGCCGCAGAGGAAGGGCAGGAGGTGAGTCAGCAGCCCGGGACTGCCCACCCGCCCCGTCCCCCGGGGCGACCAGAGACCCCGCTCACCCTCCATCCAGCCTCTGCCCCAAGCACCCCGGAGCCCTGCGGGTCCTGGAGCCAGGACCCCTGGGGGACAGCAGATCACAGATCCCTTCCCCACACACACACACACACACACACACACACACACACACACACACATCGTGCCTGCCCAAGCTGCCCCACGGTCCACCTGCCCTTCAGTAGATCACAGATCCCCTAGACCCAACACACACACACACACACACACACACACACACACACACACACACACACCCTGCCCAAGCCGCCCCGCCCCCCACACACACACACCGGGTCCACCTGCCCTTCCACCAGGGCTGGCCAGAGCCGGGCCGGACACCACTCTCAGACCCCTCCCGGCTCCTCTCCCACGGCCCTGCTGGAAGGTCTTCTCGGGGACCCCTGGCAGGGGCCGCTGGGTGGGCGCGGGGCGATGGGCCGGGCCTGCGCCCTGGGGGCCTGGGGCTGCAGGTGACGGCCCCGCCCGCAGCGTGAGGTGCGCGGGCCCGAGGCTGGCGCTGGGCGAGGCCCGAGATCCCCCCCTCCCGTCCTGCCGCTGCCCCCGGCCGCTTCCCCGCTGCTCGCCGCGGCCCCCGGCGCCCAGCGAGACGTCAGGGTCCCGCCCCCCACGTGGACGTGGGAGAAAAGCTGGAAGCGGAGCCGGGCGGGGCGGGGCCTGGCCGCGGGGGCGGGCCGGCGCGGGATCAGCCAATGAGAGCGGGGCGGACGGGGCCGGCCAATGAGAGCGCGGAGGCCGCGGCGCCGGCCAATGAGAGCGCGGAGGCCGCGGGGCGGGAAGTTCCCAGGGGGCGGGGCCGGCGCGGGCCTGGGAAGCTGCGGGCGTGTCCAGCGGGTCGCCCGGCCGGCCCCGGCCGATCCGGGTCCCGGGAGGGGCCGGGGCCAGGCCGCCCCCCGCGCACGCGGGCACCCGAGTCACTCGGGCCAGGCGGACCTGGCCCGCATGTCCCGATTTCCGGGCTGCCCCTCCCGCCCCGGACGGTGCCTTGGTGGGGGCGGGCCGGAGGGGTCCCCGAGGCTGGACTGTCCCCCGCGCCCCAAGTGCGGAGGAGTCCAGAATGGCCCCTGGCGGGGGCACCCGATGGCCCCTCTCGGGCGGTGCAGTAGCGGCCGCCGTCTCCCCCGGTGCAGGTATTCAGGCCCGGCCCCCGCCTCTCGCGGTGACGCAGTGCCCTCCCCCACGGACTTTCGCCCCTGCCCCTTGTCCCGGCCGCCAGCTCCCGCTGTCCAGCCGCGCTGTCCACCATGCAGGGCCCCCGCGGGGGCACGGGCTCCCGGGGCCGGCCCCGGCTCATCCTGCTGGCCTACGCGCTGGTCACCGTGGAGCTCACCTGTCTCTTCATGCAGTTCTCGGTGGTGCCCGTGAGTACCCGCTGGGCCGCCCACCCCTGACCGACCCCGCCTCGGCCGCACGGCACTGCACGGCCCTGCCTCCCGCCCCTGGCCCCCACTGCACCAGCTGGGCGTGTCTCCCCGTGCCCAGACCCCACACGCGCACGCACATACACCTGCCAGGTACCCAGAAGCACTTCCGGTGGAGGTGCTGGAGCCAGTGCCCCGACGGAACCGGGCCTGGCATTGGGTCCCCACCGTGTGCCGGGCACCACCTGCCCAGGGAGCCACCCGCGGGAGCATCATCCCCTCCCTGCGGTGGTCCAGTCCCGGCTCAGGCGCCTGTTGCCTCTCCCGGCCGCCTCCCTTGTGCATTTTTTTTTTTTTTTTTTTTTTTTTTGCTTTTTGGGTCACACCCGGCGATGCACAGGGGTTATTCCTGGCTCATGCACTCAGGAATCACTCCTGGCGATGCTCGGGGGACCAGATGGGATGCTGGGAATCGAACCCGGGTCGGCTGCGTGCAAGGCAAATGCCCTACCCGCTGTGCTATCGCTCCAGCCCCCCCACCTCGTGCTTTCTTAGGGCTCACAGGGCCTCCCATCCCAGCGCTGTGGGGACCCCCTCTGGTTTGGGGTACACATGCAGCAGTGTTCAGGGGCATTCCCACTCGGCACCTGGGGCCGTACCCCTGCACGTGCCAGCTCGGGACTCTGCCTGCCGGGCCGGCAGCCAACTGCGTGCAGCTTGGGTTCCCGGGCTACACCCAGTGCTTGGGGGTTACTGCTGGCCCTGCACTCGGGGGTCACTCCTGGCGATTCTCGGAGCCCCATAGGTGGTGCCAGGGATCAGACGGGGATTGTCCACATGCAAAGCAAGTCCCTGACCCTCTGTACCACCTCTCTGGCTCTCGGACTTTTTTGTTTGTTTGTTTTTTGGGTCATACCCAGTAGTGCACAGGGGTTACTCCCAGCTCTGCACTCAGGAATGACTCCTAGTGGTGCTCAGGGGACCCTTTGGAATGCTGGGAATCGAACCCATGTCAGCCACGTGCAAGGGCAAACACCCTACCTGCTGTGCTGTCGCTCCAGCCTCTTCTTTCTTTCTTTCTTTCTTTCTTTCTTTCTTTCTTTCTTTCTTTCTTTCTTTCTGTCTCTCTCTCTCTCTCTCTCTCTCTCTCTCTTTCCTTCCTCCTCAACCACTTTTAAAGTTCCCCAAGGGCATTCCCATGAGAAGGGGGGGCGGGGGGTGCATCTTCTGGGTCACTATTCGGGTGTGAGAGGAACTGACCACCCCTCTGACCCCCAAACCAAGCTCTCTCCCGCTAAATGACCGACTCCAAGCCCCAAGGCCCTCCTGGACAGCTGGGTGACCTGGGCAGGCCTTGGGCCCCAGGTAAAGGGGCTGCATCTCGGGGGCCGGCAGGGCCCCATCACCCTGAGCCACGGAGGGCTTCGGCCACGGGCCCCTTCCCAGAGAGGAGTGAGTGGGTGAGCCTCGCCCACGGGAGACCTTCGGTCCCACCAGGGCCAGCCTGGGCCACTGCCCCCCACTTCATCGTCCTTCAGGGGGTCAGTTTGATTTAAAGGACATCCTGGAGGTGCTCAGGACCCCCCCCTGTGACCCCACCTGTGAAGCTGAGCTCTGTCCTGTAGCTGTTTCCTGGCGCTCTTTGTCCTGTGGGAAGCAGCTAAGGCGGGCAGTACTCCCGGAGCACTGATTCTTTTTTCTTATTTTGTTTGAGGTTTTTTGTTTTTTTCTTGCTTTTTGGGTCATACCCGGCGATGCGCAGGGGTTCCTCCTGCCTCTGCATTCAGGAATCACTCCTGGTGGGGCTCAGGGACTTTATGGGATGCTGGGAATCGAACCCAGGTCAGCAAGGTGCAAGGCCAACGCCATCCACGCTGTCCTAGCAGTAAGCACTGTAAGCGTCCACCAGCCCCCTGAGAGACTGAAAAGAAAACTGGAAGTCCTGGGGCCCAGGCATGGTCCCGGGCGAGCAGAGGGGTCACCCAAGCTCAAAGGCACAGTCCCCACCACTGCCCAGCTTGGGCTTGGACGTAGCACTGCTGCCCGCGTGGCAGTGACCAGCCACTTCCAGCTGCACCCCCACCTCACCCCCCAGTGAAGAGATGCAGCCCACGGCCAGCAGCAGCACGCAGAGATGTGTCCTGGCCGGAAGTGTGGCCAGCCAGCGCCTGGGCCACGAGTGACCGCTCCAGCGTGTGCCTCGCCTGAGTACCGCCAGCGGGTGGGCGGACCCCACTGCTGCAGCCGCGGCGGCGACAGAGAAGGAAAGTGGGGAGGGTCTGTCCTTTAAAGCAAACTGGAGGCCAGAGAGACAGTGCAGGGGGCTGGCACTTGCCCCCCACGTGGCTGGCACCAGGCACGCTCCCCACTACCACACCAGGTGTGGACCCCCGCGAAAAAGAGCCTATTTCCTGCTTGTCAAATCCACTTGTGGTGAAATCCAGGAGGGGCGGGAGAAAGTCCAGGGGTCAGGACAGTTCAGTGGTGGGGGGGAGGGGGTGCGGGGAAATGCCTCTGGGGGCAGGGGCAAGGCCCAAGGTGTGGGACCAGCCGTAGTGGCCAAGGCCATGCAAAAGTCCTGGGGCAGCGGGAGGCAAGTGGAGCCATGGTGAGCTGGAGCCCCTCTGGCCATGCAGAGCACTCAGGGGCCAGGAGTGCCCACAGTGCGCAGACACGGGTCCCAGCTTAGGGGAGGACCCTTTGGGGCTGGAGCCAAAGGTGACCTCTGAAAAGGAGGTGCTGGGACTGGACCGTGAGCAGGAGGGGGCGTCTTCTCCACACACAGCGAGGCCAGGCAGCTGGAGGGAGGTCTCAGCAGGGAGAAGGGGGCAGTGGGGCACCGGTCAGCAGGATCCAGGGCAAGGCAGGGTGGCTGTGACCAGGGGTCCCATCTGCAGGGGAGAATCGTGGGGTGATGCAGAACCTGTCCCCTAGGTGGCGCCCTCTGGGCCATTGTCGAGGTGTCCACTGCAGAGGGGAGGACAGACAGGCCAGGGGGGACCCTAGCCCCGGCGGGGTCCTTGCGGGCGGGGCTCCCCGTCTCACTGCACCCCTCCTTTTCAGTACCTGTCCCGGAGTCTGGGCCTGGACCCCGTGGCCTTCGGCTACCTGCAGACCACCTTTGGGGTCCTCCAGCTGCTGGGCGGGCCTGTGTTCGGCAGGTAGGTGCAGGGACGCCGGGTCACCTGCCTCTCACTGGGCCCTGAGCTGGTCAGTGCAGCCCACCGGGAGCCCGGGAAAGGCAGAAGCCACACGGACTGTCCCCCCTACCCCACCCGCCTCAAGGCTGCCCGTGCACTGGATCTGGGGACGTGATCAGCCACCCCCGCCCAGGGTGGACAAGGCGACACAGTCCAGGCCAGGACGAGGGGCAGCAGTGGGGACAGGCCGGCAGCTCCGGTGCCACACTCTGGGCCCATCCCGCTTGGCTGAGCGCCCAGGGGTGTGGGTGGGGGTCCTGCCTGGCCTCTGAGGGTCACCGTGCGGGTCCCCAGGTTCGCAGACCAGCGCGGGGCTCGCGCCGCCTTCACGCTGTCCTTCCTGGCGTCCTCCGTACACTATCTGCTCCTGGTGGCCGCCTGCAGCCCGGCCCTGCCCGGCGTGGCCCTTCTCTTCGCCTCCCGCCTGCCCGCGGCCTTCATGCACACGCTGCCAGGTGGGGCCGGGCGCGGGCACGTGGGGACAGGCCAGGGGCACTGGGCAGGGCACCGTGGGGACAGGCCTGGGGAACTGGCACGGGCACCGTGAGGACAGGCCTGGGGCCTGGCACGGGCACCGTGGGGGCAGGCAGGGGGTGCCGGGGCATCGGGCGTTACGGGGACAGGCCTGGTCTGGGGGGCGTAGCGGGAGGGGGCGAGGGCCCACGCTCAGCCTCACCCCCACACCCTGCAGCCTCCCAGATGGTCATCACGGACCTGACTGCGCCCGAGGAGCGGCCTGCGGCGCTGGGCCGGCTGGGCCTGTGCTTCGGGGTCGGCGTCATCCTGGGCTCGCTGCTGGGCGGGACCCTGAGCTCCACGTTCGGGTGAGTGGACCTGGGGGACGGACGCTGGGCGGCCCGGGAGCAGAGCGGCCGAGAGGGCGGGGCCTGCCGGGAGGGGCGGGGCCAAGGAGGGGCGTGGTCTCCGGGCGGGGAGGGGGAGAGCGGGGCGGAAGGGGCGTGGCCTGCGTGGGAGGAAAGCGGGCCTGAAATGGGCGTGGCCCGTCTGGGTGGGTGGAGCGGCCGGCCTGGGAGAAGGGGCGGGGCCGCTGGGCGGGGCTGTCCGCGGAGAGTGGGCGTGGCCGGCAGGGACGCGTCGGCCGGAGGGTGTCGCCCGGGCTTGTCCGGCAGGGGGCGCCCGCGCGGCGCGAGCGCGCCCGCTGAGTGACCGGTCCTCGGGTGGGCCCCGGGCTGCAGGCCCACGGCGGGTGGACCTGAAGGAAACCCGACGGCGGGCGGGGCCCGGGACTCCGTGGTGGGACGAACCGCGAGCGCGGGGGGGGCGTGGGCGTGCAGGAGGCCCCGGCTGCGTCCCGGCCTGCGGGGTTCTGACTTCGCGTCCGGCGCTGGCCGGGGGGCTCAGGGCCCACTCCCGGGCACCCCCTCCTGGGCATGCGCGGCGCCTCCTTCACAGGGGTGGGCTTGTGCATTGGCCCCAGCCTCTGCTTCGGGCCTAGGGTGCCGGGGTGGGGGCCACGGGACGCTCCGGGGACAAGGGCAGGAGTGGAGGGAGCCGCGCCTCGAACCCAGAGCCGGCCGCTGGACGTCCAGGCAGGCATGGCCTAAGTAGAGGGGCCCTGGGGCAGCTGACAGGCCCTGGCCTGAGCAGTGCTCTGGGGTACCCACAGGATGGGGCGTCTGGAGCTGGCACTTGGGGGTACAGGCCCCACCTGGGTGGGCTCCCATCTAGGGAGCGGGTTTACACTTGGATCAGGGGGTGCGGTGGCTGGAGCGATAGCACAGCGGGTAGGGCGTTAGCCTTGCATGCGGCTGACCCGACTGACCTGGGTTCTATTCCTCCGCCCCTCTCGGAGAGCCTGGCAAGCTACCCAGAGTATCTCTCCCGTATGGCACAGCCTGGCAAGCTCCCGGTGGCGTATTCGATATGCCAAACACAGTAACAACAAGTCTCACAATGGAGACGTTACTGGGCCCGCTCGAGCAAATCGATGAACAACGGGAGGACAGGGCAGTGCAGTGCAGGGAGTACGGGGACATACTCAGACACACGGACACACAGACACACTCAGACACAGACACACAAAGACACAGACATATGGACCCACAGACGGACATACTCAGACACATGGACACACAGACACGCTCAGACAGCCACACACAGAGACGTGGACACATGGACACGCTCAGAAGCACTTCTCCCTGCATACTGACAGGCCCAGACCCACATTCACATTGGTGGACACACGTGCGCACACACACACACACACACACACAGACACACGCGCACACACACACACACGGACACAGACACGCACGTGCCAGCATTCAACCTGCCTTTTCCTCCATCCCAGGAGATTCCTGTCTCTCCCCCTGGTCCCTAAGGTCAACCCCTGCCCTCAGCTTCCAGAGCATTCCACGGCTTCCCTGCCTTCTTTCATCCCAGGATCTAAAGTGCTTTATGGTCTCAGGCTGCCTTTGATGGGCGGGGAACTGAGGCCCCAGCGGGGGCTTCTCTCCCCTTCCTTCCCCTCCTCCTCCTCCTCCTCCTCCTCCTCCTCCTCCTCCTCCTCCTCCTCCTCCTCAGTCTCCCTCCTGCTGCGTCACCCCCAGCGGCCAGCGGGAGCAGGTGGGGATTGGCAGTCCATGTGGGAGCCTGTCTGACTGGTTTGGGCCTCTCCTGGCTGCCTGCAGCTCCCACAGCTCCAACCTGAATGGACTCACGCCCTGGGGCTGGACACGCCTGCCCCTCAGGATGGACCCTGGCCCCGTGGTGTCCAACCAGTGGGGGCACAGCGGCTCACAGGGGTCACCTGCAGTGACTCAGCGCGGGGCACTTCCCGCCTCTTATCAGGAGCTGAGTCACGCTGTCGGTTTCCGGTGACACCCTGACTTCCTCTGTGCACTCAGGTCCGGGTGCCTGGGAGCCAGCCAGGGCAAAGGTTGGGAGGTGGGGGGGTCGGACGGGGGGGTCAGCAGGACGAGGCCCACGCGTCTTAGGAGGACTGGGGCTGGTGGGCGGCAGAGCCGGGGGGACCCCGCAGACCTCCCATGCTCTGTGTGTGGCGTGGGATTCCGTGCGTCCTGTCTCTCTGCGTCCCTGAGGACCTGGCAGGCCTCCCGGGTGGGCAGAGGGGGGTCCCCAGCCCAGAAACCCACCTGTGGCCCCTGATCCAGGCCAGGACTGACCGTAATCGGTGCCCACAACAGGGCACGGCCGGGTCAGGCTCAGATCCAGAGTGGGCGCCCAGCCAGCCGCCCCGATGGCAAAGTCCAGCCCTGGAGATAAGGATGAAAGCGGCGAGCACGGCCCCTCCTGTTTGGCGAGTGCCAGGAACTGCCATTCCCGAGCCGGGAGGGGCCTCAAAGCGGATGCCACCTGGGGGAGGGGACAGAGGCCCTTGAGGGTTGGGGACAGGGGCCACACCAGCCGACGGATGAGGGAGTCACCAGCAGGGAGGCCTCCGGCGGGGGCCGGCAGGCAAAGGAGCCACCTCCAGGGTGCCCGGGACGTTCATGGCCGACCTCGGGCCAGACGTGGGACCCAGATGGGAGCTTCTGGCCACATGGCCTGTGACTCCTTCCCACAGGGGGGCTAGCACTGCCCCGCGTGGAAGGAGCGTCTGGTGTCCCCATGCCCTGGACCCAGCCCCGGTTACCCTGGCACGGGCCCCCGCCCATCCCCCCAACACCAGTCTCCTAAAATAGTCGCCCGGGCAGCCGCCTCGCTCCGGTGTCCAGGGCTGTCAAGAAAGAGGGTTTTGTCTCATGCGTCGCGTCCAGGCCCAGCAGTGACGTGCTGGCCTCAGGGGCCCCAGCTCTGAAGAAAGGGCCTTTCTCTCCCTCTGCACCCGCACGCGTCAGAGCAGCCCCTGCAGGACCCTCCCAGGAAGAGGCCAAATCCCTGTGGCCACTGGGGAGGGGCCCCCGGTGGCAGATCAGCCCTGTGACTGCCCTGCCCCCACCACTCCCGACCCCACAGAACGCAGCCCTTCCGCGGGCAGCAGGGAGTGTGTGGCCTGTGCATGTGTGTGTGTACCTGGTGTGTACGAGTGATTGCATGAGAACCAGTCAGATGTATACATGTACAATCATGGGCCCTGTGTGCATACGTATTCCTGTATATGCACGTGGTGTGCTCACTCTTGTGCGTACTGGTGTGGACACACGTGCGTGTGTATAAATGATGTATGCAATTGTGTGAATTCACATACCTGATGTAGGCACACATGTGTGGATATGGTATGTGCACGTATGCACCCTTGTGTATTGTGCTGTGCACCTGTATGTATGTGTGTGTGTGTGTGTGTGGGTGGGTGGGTGTGTGGAATTGGTGTGCATATGTGACCTGGCATGTACTCATGTGTGCCTGTGTGTGCACCTGGTGCATTGTACTGTGCACATATCGTGTGTGTATGTATGTGTGCAAGCCTGGGTTGTGAGCATATATGTCCATACACGTGAGCTGGCTGTGCACCTACACACATGCTTAACGTGTGCATGTGGGCCTCTGTGCACATCTGCGTTGGGCTTACATGTGTATGTGTGCACTTGTGTGTCTGCACATATGTACACCTGGCTGGCATGCATTGTGCATGTATATGTCTGGGTTCCATGTACATGTGTGCACAAGAGTGTGCGTATGACCTTTCTGAGGCCGTGGAGGGCCACGGGCAGTGGGCACGGGACCCGGATCCTACTGTCCCACCAAACCAACCAGGGCAGTTTGCAGGGACCTGGGGGTGGGGGCGGGTCTCATGCTGTGGCCATGATGAGGGGCCCCGCCAGGCCGGACCCCAGGGGTTCCAGATGCCCAGTGCTCGGAGACCCAGTGCTCTGGGGACCCGGAGACCCCGTGCTCAGGGGAGGGTCCCAGTGGCCCAGGCTGCAGCAGCGGATGGAAACTCTCCTGTCCCATCTCAGAGGGTCGCACCCCAAGGGACAGCTACCAAGGGGCAGCCGCCCTCCTGCAGGCCGGGGTTCCGTGTGGTGACTCACGGGAGCTGAGCTCAGGGCCTGCGTCACAGGCTGGCGTGGGCGGCCTGAGGGTCGGGCCGGAGCGCAGCTGTGGCCAGTCCAGGAAGTAGGGAGGGAGCCCTGTGGGGGAATCCGGGCCTGTCCCCGCCGTGGGAGCAGGGGTCGTCTTGGGTCCCAGAGGCCTGAGGGGCCCGGGGTCCCCCTCCCGTGGCGTGTGCTGGCGCGGGTCGTCGTGGCTGGGAGCGGGCGGCGTCTCACGGTGTCTCCAGAGCCGCGCCCAGAGCTCAGCCCACCCTATAGCCCCTCACTGTCATGGGGCGCCGTGGGCCTCTGCCCCTCCGGGTGGGCCAGGAACAGTGGGTGTGCAGAGTACACACCCGTGTGCTCACAGACGCCCGCGTGAACGCACACCCGCACCTCATGTGTCCTGCTTGTGCAGCGTGTGTATGTGTGTCTGCTCACATCCATGGGCCAGACGTGTGCCCACGTACACGTGTGTTCGTACACATGCGTGTGGCATAGGCACCTGTGCACAATCGCACACGCAGGCCCGCCCGCCGGGTCTCTCCTGCCCTCCAGCACACAGGGCGTGCCTGGCCTGAGCATGTTGCATGGCTCCCTCCCCCCCCTTGCAGGATCCAGTGTCCAGTCTGGGTGTCGTTGCTGGCCAACATGCTGGGGGTCGTCCTCAGCGTGACGAACATCCCGGTCAGCACCAAGGAGGCCGGCCCTCACGTCGAGAAGGCCCCGCCAGGTGAGCGTCTGGGCGCCCCAGACACGCTCCCGGGGCCCTGCACCCTGTTGGACTCCTCGCGGCCAGGGGACAGGGCAGCCTGGGCTCCGGCCAGGCCAGCGACTGTGGCTGAGCGAGGCTCGAGGGGGGACGGGATGGGCCACCCTGAGTACAGAGCCTAGCGGGGGCAGATCTGGGGCCCAGAACAGCCCCCAACAGCCCCCATCGAGCTCAGGGCTGGGGTGAGAGGCTGATGGAACAGTCTAGAAGGGGTTGGACAGAGCCCGGGCCAGCCCCCAGCTGCTGTGACCCGGCCCATCTGCAGGGGGACCGAAGGCCAGCGTGTTTGACCTGAAGGCCATCAGCCGCCTGCTCCTGCTGCCCGGGGTGCGGCCACTCTTCCTGGTCAAGGTCCTGTCCGGCTTCCCCTCAGGTGAGCCCCGAGACCCGGGCCCACCACTGCCTGGCCCCCCACTCCCTCCCCAGCTGGCGAGGGGAACCCACCTACCTCGTTTCGGATTCTCCTGCCTTCAACCTGGGCACTGGGGTCCCAGACAGTGGCCAGGACAGGTGGGGGGGCGGGGCTTCCATGCAGACCAGACCTCCCTCCCCCACAAGCTGTACCCCCCACCCCCCGCAGGCCGGATACCCCCCTACAGGCCAGACTCCCGCAGGCCAGAGACCCACAGGCTGGAGTCCCTTCCACAGGCCTAACCACCCCCGCAGGCCCGACCCTCTGCAGGCCAAACCCCCCAGGCTTAACATCCCTGTAGACTGAAACCCCGAGGCCTAACCCCCGCAGGCCTGACCCCCTCACGGCCCCCCGCAGGCCTCTTCATGGTCATGTTCTCCATCATCGCCATGGACTTCTTCCAGCTGGAGGCCGTCCAGTACGGCTACCTCATGTCCTTCTTCGGGGTTCTCCAGATGGTGAGTGGGTGTGTGGCCAGGGCTGACCTGGGGCCTCACACCTGCCCCCCACCCGTGTCGGGTCCCTTCTGAGCATCCCTCTCTCTCATCTCACCTGGCCCCAAGCACCCCCTTTGATCCCCCTGCCCAGGAGTCCGGGCCCTGGGGTCCGCGGGGTAAGGCACAGAGGAGACAGGCCGACGCCGGCCACCTGGACTGTCCAAGCGACGCTGTCCCCACGCGCTGTCCGCCAGGCCGGCCTCCCAGGCGGCAGGGATGGGGTGGGGTTAGAAGGACATGCCACCGCGTGTGGGAACTGCAGCCCTGGGGGGACCTTCCCCACCTTCCCCCGTCCCCCTGCACCCTGATTCTCACGGCTGTGCCCAGCAGGAGGCCACGGGCCTCGGGAAAGCAACCCTGACCCAGTGATAGCAGTGACCTGGCCTCCACCCGGGCACCTCGTGGGGTCCCCTGGGGCCAGCCGGGAGTTAGCCCTGAGCACCGCCAGGGGTGGGCCCCAACTAAGGCTGCAGCCAGTTCTGGGGGCCGTGTGCGGGATCCTGCGCACCCCTGGCCCAGGACAGGTCAGGGTGGCCGCAGGCCTGGTGGAGGCTGCCCCTCCCGCCCATCAGTCAGCTCTAACTCCCTGCCATGCTGGCTGGAACCTCGACTCCACAGAGCAGTGGGGGCCCTGGGCGCCCTGGGTCAGAGGAAGAAGGCCTGGGCAGACCCCAGGCTCAGGCTCCCCACACCCAGGGGGCTGGTCAGCAAGGGCTGGACTGTGACTGCCCGCCGCTGCTGCACCTGACCCCATGCTAAGGGCTGACTCCCGGTTCTGTGCTCGGGGCTCACTCCCAGCTCCGTGCTCGGTTATCACTCCCGGCTCTGTGCTCAGAGATCACTCCCGACTCTGTGCTCAGGGCTCACTCCCGGGTCTGTGCTCAGGGCTGACTCCCGGCTCTGTGCCCAGAGATCACTCCCGGCTCTGTGCTCAGGGCTGACTCCCGGCTCTGTGCTCAGGGCTGACTCCTGGCTCTGTGCCCAGAGATCACTCCCGGCTCTGTGCTCAGGGCTGACTCCAGGCTCTGTGCTCAGGGCTGACTCCCGGCTCTGTGCTCAGGGCTCACTCCCGGCTCTGTGCTCAGAGATCACTCCAGGCTCTGTGCTCAGGGCTGACTCCAGGCTCTGTGCTCAGGGCTCACTCCCGGCTCTGTGCTCAGGGCTCACTCCCGGCTCTGTGCTCAGGGCTCACTCCTGGCTCTGTGCTCAGAGATCACTCCCGGCTCTGTGCTCAGGGCTGACTCCAGGCTCTGTGCTCAGCGCTGACTCCTGGCTCTGTGCTCAGGGCTCACTCCCGGCTCTGTGCTCAGGGCTCACTCCCAGCTCTGTGCTCAGGGCTCACTCCCGGCTCTGTGCTCAGGGCTCACTCCTGGAGGGGCTCAGGGGACCTTATGGGATGACCAGGTCAGGTGTGCGCTAGACTTTATATCAGCCGCTGCTGTCCCCAGCAGCCATGAGTGTTTCCGGTGACATCGTGCCGCCCACACCCTGAGCCCCCCTCACCGCCCCATCGGCTCCCGGTGTCGGCCCTGCCGTGGTGTGTGCCGGCACACGTGTGCCTGTGTCTGCGTGCGTGCTTGGGGGTGCATGTGCACATCTGTGTTCCCGTATGTCCCCATGCGTGTGCTGGGTGCACGTGCACACGCGCACTCACACCTGTGTCTGTTCGTGCGGGCTGCCTTGCACGCGCGTGCGCAGATGCGGGTCTGGCCGGGGCCCCTGTGTGAGGCCCGGCCGCCTGTCCCGCCCTCTCGCCGCAGGTCATCCAGAGCCTGGTCATTGGGCGGCTGAGCCAGCGCTTCTCGGAGGAGGCACTGCTGAGGGCCAGCGTGCTGGTCTTCTGTGTGGTGGGCCTGGCCATGGTGAGTCCCGCGGCCGCCCAGACCTGTTTCCTGCCTGGCCTTTAACCCGGACGCCGTGAGGCTCAGGGACGGGCCCCTGGTCAGCAGCCCCTGGGGTGGGGTTCGGACCCCCATCAGCAGCCCCCGGGGAGTCAGGGCAGACCCCCTTCAGCAGCCCCCAGGGTGGGGGGTTGGACCTCCGGTCAGCAGCCCCCAGGGAGTCAGGGCGGACCCCCGGTTATCAGTCCCCCGGAGAGTCAGGGTGGACCCCCGTCAGCACCCCTTCCTGTCCAGGCGCTGATGTCTAGCATCACCCACTTATGCCTCCTGATGCCCGGCATGGTCTTCAGCCTGTGTGCCCTCAATGTGGTGACCGACAGCCTGCTGACCCAGGCCGTCTCGGCCATGGACACAGGTGAGCAGCCGTGCCCTCGGGGAGTCTCACTGGGGCGCCCCAGGGCCCGTCTCCTGTGCTGGGGCTCGGGGTCTGGGTGGAGCAGGTAGGGGTGACCTGTCAGAAGGCCAGAGAAGAGAGTGGCCACCTTGGGAGCCAGCCCGCAGGCCAGGCTGCCCAGCACTGGACCGCAGGAAGGGAAGAGGGCTTCTGGGAGGCGGTGTCTGGCTGGGCTCTGAAGCATGGACGGGAGTTCACTGAAAAGGAGGAGGCAGGGGGCCGGAGGGAACAGCATATGTGGGGGGCGTCTGCCTTGCACGCGCCCACCCGGTGTCCCGTATGGCCCGGCCTGCAGAGCCAGAGTGAGCGCTGAGCACTGCTGAGTGAGGCCCCGAAACAAAAGCCAAGACAGGAGAAGGGGAGTGACGTGAGGCCCACCTGTAACACAGCGAGGCACAGTGGGGGCTGAGGGTCTGCGTGGGCACAGATAGGCAGCCTGGTGGGGTGGGCGTCTGTCCCCTCCTGGGCCCGAGCTTCTTGGGAGGCAGGAGGGAAAGGCAAAGGTGAGAAGGCCCCGGGGACCCCGGGAGGCGCTCAGGGCTGCAGGCCACAGCCGGGCTCCCTGCGAGTGACCAGTGCTCGTGGGTGGCTCCGGAAGCACTCGGGGGTCCTCAGGCTGCCAGAGGGGGGCTCTGTCCCCAACAGCAGGGCTGGCCAGCACACGGGCTGCAGTGGCCCTCTGCCTGGGGACTGCGCCTTCCGCCTGGGGCGTGGGGGTCTCTGCCTGGGGGTTGCGCCCTCGCCCTCTGCCTGGGGCATGGGGTCTCTGCCTGGGGCAGGCGGGGTCGTGGGCTGAGTCCCTGGGCTCTGCGGGAGGCCGCGGCCCACCCCACCCCGCAGCAGGCCTGGAGCTGGTTCCCAGGCCAGCCTGGGAACTGGAGCGCGGAGGGGGCGGTAATTGCTCCCGGTTTGGTGTGGTGTCTGCGGGGGGCGTGTGGGCGACGGGCGAGGCCGCTTGCTGGGACGGACCGGGCGGGCCTGTCCGGCCACTCCCAGCTGCCCTGTCGGGGTTCCCTGCCCGGAGCAGAGCCGCAGGCGGCCGTGACCACACACAGGCTCCCGCCCACCCACGCACTGCTGCCAGGAGGGCCCAGCAGAGGGGCTGGGAGTGACCCTGGCCCCCTGCTGTCCCGGCAGGGGCCTGGATGCCAGGACACAGGAGGCTGCCGAGGGGGCCGGGGGTCCCAGGGCCGGGACACAGGGTGGCCGCCATACGGTCAGGACCAGCCCTACCCCACCCCGGGGTGCCCGAGGCCTCTCGGTGTTCAGACGCCGGCTCCGACCTGCGGCCTCATTCCCAGGCCCCTCCTCGCGCTCGGGAACTTTCTAGGGCAGCCAGAGGCCCGGCCCCGTCTGGCCGGAAGCACCAGCCACCCGAGCACGGCGGGGTCACCGCAGGGATGGGGAGAGACGGGGAGGCCACGGCCGCGCCCAGCACAGCAGGGGCCCGGCTGGCCTGACCCCACCTGCACCCCGCAGGCACCATGCTGGGCCTCTGCGCCTCCGTCCAGCCGCTGACCCGCAGCCTGGGCCCGACTCTGGGGGGCCTCCTCTACCGGACCTGGGGAGTCCCCGTCTTTGGCCATGTGCAGTTTGCGGTCAACTTCCTGGTCCTCCTGGTGCTGTGGATGCGGCCCCTGTCCCTGAAGACGGGCAAAGCACGGTGACCGGGAGTGTCGCAATAAAGCCAAAGCTGTGACCCGGTGTCCGCCTGATCTCTGCCAGGGGATGCCCGCGGGGAGGAGCCCGGGACCTTCCCAGCCTGTCTCTGACCCGAGTGGACGCCACTCCCAGCCTGTGGCAGCTCTGTCCCGGCTGAGCAGGGCACCCTCAGGCACCTGCCACCACCCCAGCTCCCGAGGGCTCCTAAGTCGGGAATCTCCGGCTTGGAGGAGAGCAAGCAGGAGGGTGGCCGGCAGCTGCCCTCACAGACCCTGACAACTCGGGGTCACACCTCAGAGCCCCCGTGGAGAGCCCTCACAGGCACCCAGCCCGCTGAGACCGGGGTGCTCAGCCCCCAACTTGGCAAGTCCCCAGGAGGGTCTGGGTGAGAGGCGCCCGGACTCATAGGGTCTTTTAATAAATTAATTTTTGGGGGGTTGGCCAAAAGTTTTGGGGGGGGTGGTGCTCCAGGGATCACTGTCAGCTGGCTCAGGGGACCCTAAGGGGTGCTGGGGATGAAACCCTGGCAGGCCATGTGCAAGGCCCATGCTTTGCCCTGTGCGGTCTGGGGGGCGGGATGTTTCTATCCTGGGGGGTTCCCACCCCAGTTCTCCAGGGTTTGGGAGAAACTCCCAAGGGGAAGTTTCACCAGAACCGTGTTGCTGGAGCCAGAACACTCCTCCTGCCCCAGAACCCCCGGGGCTAGCATGCCCCAGGGCCTGCCCTGGACAGGATGAATGAGTGACCACAGGCTCGTGCCGCCCACCAGGTCCCCTGAGCGGAAAAGCAGGGTCGGGGCCTGTGTGTCACCCACACTGGGGTGGCCAGGGCCCAGCTGAGCCCGAGGGTGGGCCGACACGTGCTGAGCAGGACACATGCAGGGGCCGGCAGCACCCCAGGTGACTGTTGTGGCCACTGCCTGGACTCCTGAAACACCTCTCACATGCCCTGGGCACTGCCATGGTGGGCCGGCCAGGCGCCCGCACCCCCACCCAGCTCCCCAAGGGCTGAAGGGGACACACCCAGGCCACACCCAGGAAGCCCGCCAGGGCCACCAGGGTGTGAAGGGCCTTCCCACAGGACCACCGGGCCCTAGGTTCCCCCCCCACACACACACTTCAGAAAGCACAGCACGTGTTAGAAAAGTAGTCCAATAGTTTAATGGAACCGGACACTGATGCAAAAACATAAAATATTAAGACGAAGTCTGATGAGACGTATTCACCAAAATAAATAGACAGTCCAATAAGTTATTGCGCCCGCACAGCGGGGCGAGGCTCTGTGGCTCGGTGCGGGCAGGTCGGCGTGGACAGGTCCTCCCGGCAGGTCCTGGCGCGCTGGGCGAGGGACAGCGGGTGGGGGGTGGGGGGCGTCCAGCCCGTGCTCCCGCCCGGGACTGCCGGGTCCCGGGCGCCGGCGCGGCGGCGGCGCGTGTGTCACGGCGGGTCCTTGCGCGGCTCCTGCGGGGAGAGGGGGTTCAAGGGGCTGCGGCGGCGGGGGCGCCCCGCACCCGGCACCGGCACCCGGCAGCTCCGGGCGGGCTCGGGCAAGCCCGGCGCTCCCGGCCGGGCTCAGGGCGCGCGGGGCTGGCTCGCGTGGCACCCGGCACCCCCGCGCGCCCCGCGCTCACCGTGGCTCAGGGCGCGCGCGCCGTCGTGCGGGCCCCGGGCTCGGGCCGCTCCTGGCGGCTGCGGAAGTCCTGCAGCGCGCGGCGGTTCTGGAAGTCGATGAGCGCCAGCGTGATGGCCGCGTTCCAGCAGCTCTCGCCCGCGCAGCGGAAGTCGATCTCCTTGCGGTCGGTGGTGACGATGGTGAAGTACACGTACTTGCCCGTGCGCTCCACGCAGTCCACCTTGAGGATGGAGTGGAAGCGCAGCTCCTTGGGGCGCGCGCCCGGGCCCGCGGGGAACAGGCTCAGGCGGTCGGGGGTCAGCACGCCGCGCTTCTTCTTCCACAGCTGGAACAGGCTGTCGCTGCGCTTCTCCAGCTCGCCCTCGCGCAGCACCTCGCCGGGGGTCTTCATGGCTGGCGGCGGCGGGGCGGCTGGGCGCTCTCGGCGGCGGCGGCTGCGGCGGCGGGGCCGGCTCTGCGCTGCCGCGGCCCCGCGCCGGCTTTATAGCGGCCCCGCCCGGAGGCCCCGCCCCGACCACGCCCCACTGGGCGGCCTCTGGTCCGACCATGCCCCCGCCGGGCGGCCTCAGGCTGGGCCCCGCCCCCGACCACGCCCCCACCGGGCGGCCTCGGGCTAAGCTCCGCCCCGACCACGCCCCCACCAGGCGGCCTCTGGTCCGACCACGCCCCCGCCCCGCTGGCCACGCCCCCGGAGGCCCGGCCCCCGCCCACGTGCGCCTGCAGCCGCGCCGGCCGAGTGGGCGGCGACTCCGGGTCCCCGCCCCGCCCCGCCCGCGCTGACTCACCCGCCCGAGCCCCGGGCAGCGACCGGGCGGGCCGGCCCTGGGCGGCGACTGTGCCCCCCGGGGACCCCCCGTCCAGCGGCGCCGTGGTCGCCCCGCGCCCCCACGGGCGCGCCCTTCCCGGGTAGACCCCGCGGAAAGTGCTAGAAAACAGCGCCCGAGCCCCCTCTCTGCGGCGGGGCAGCGGCCGGACAGGGCCGTGGGTGCGGGTCGCGGGCAGCGGCCGTGCCGGCGGGGGCGGGGCGGCTGACTCACGCCTCCAGCCGGGCGCTCGCCGTTTCATTCACCCGCTTCCTTTCAAGGTTTATGGGAGCAGGAAGTGAAGCCGGGCGGCTCCCGGGTTCCCAGGGGCGCCCCCGCGCCCCCTCCGAGGTCCCCACCCGCCCGGGGCCGGGGCACGGGCACCAGCGTCCCGTCCCCCCTCCCCCCAATGACTTGGAGCGGCCGTTTCCAGGCCCGCTGCTGCCTGCCAGGGGCTGGGGGCTGGGCACTGCGTGGCTGTGGCTGCACTGGCCTGAGGGACGGCCAGGACTCCCCCCCGCTCGCCACCCGGGAAGCAGGGGGTGGGGACCAGCTAAGGTAGGTTAAGCCAGGGGCCTTGCCTGCAGCCCACCCCGGCGTCCCGTAGGGCCCCAAGCCCTGCCAGGAGTGATCCCCAAGACTAACACAAAGGGCTTGACTTGGGCTGGACAGCACGGCGTTGCCCAGGTGCCCTGACCTGGGCAGGCCTGGGTCTGATGGGGCCCCCACCCCCACCCCCACCCAGAGAGCACAGGGCCAGGTGTAGGCCCTGGCGGAGTGTGGCCCCCAGCCGGCCAGAGGACCAGGGAGGGGCCAGTGGTTCCCGGTTGCGTGTGGGTGGGGGCCAGGGGCTATTTTGGGGGCTTCAAGCCCATGGATGTCTGCTTGGGGACTGCGTCCCAAGGTGCTCCAGTCTGAGGGGATTCTCGGCCAAGGCTCCCCAAACGTCCAGCCAGGGCTGTCACTGGCCAGCTGAGCAAGGCCACAGGTGCCGTGGGCAGGAGGGCGCCCCTTGGAAACTCCCGTGCCAAACTCCCACCCCACCCCATGCACAGTGGCCATGTAGGTGGCATTCTGGGACACCCCCGGGCAGGGTGCTCTGTGCCCCTGCCTGTCACTCTCCTCTCCCCCAGGAAGCCCTCCCAGACTTCCCGGGACTGCATCACATACTACTTTGGGGCCAAGTTAGTAACAGTCGCCTGGGGAGGGTGGGGGCATCAGGGCCCCTGGACCCGGCTCTGGGAGCCAGCAGGGGAGAGGAGGCCTGAGATCACTTGGCCCTGGCCCCCGACTCACCCCTCCCTCACTCCACCCCTCCTGCCCGGCAGCCTGGCACAAGTGAAAGCAAGGTTTGAGGTGGACTGTCCCCACTGGTCCCAGGGTCTTGCCCGGAGGATGGAACAGCCAGCAGGTCCCGCTCGGCCCTCACACGAGCAGGTGGACAGTGGCGAGCAGGCAGAGCTGGACTACCGGGACCTGCGCTTCCACCGGCCTCCTGGAGCCGAGACCCAGGGCTCCTGCCCGCGCTGTCCACCTCTGCTGTTCCTCCGGCTGATCCCACCCTGTCCGCCTGTCTTGTCTAGAAGCCAGCAGGCAGGGGCATCTCGGGCTGGGGCCAGCCAGGCCCGCAGAGGTGTGGTCGCAGGGGGCGGGGTGCCAGGGCTGCCGGCAGGACCTGTTGGTCCATCATGGAAAGTAACATCCGGCCGCACCCTGGGGCTGAGTCAGGCAGGCCAGCGGCCTCAGGCAGTGAGGCGACAGGAAGGGTGGGTGTCTGGGCCTTGGGGCAGCCCCCACAGGCAGGGCTGATCTCCAGGTCAGTGCTGGGGTGGAGAGCACCTCGGTTGACAGCTGCCCAGGCGCAGAGGAAGCAGGCGCTGGGCCGGGAGCACCAGGAGCCAGTGGCGGCTCAGTGCCCAGAGCCACCTGTCTGTCTCCTGGCAATGGCCAGCGAGGGCTGGCGGGCTCTGGAGGAAGGAAGCCGCGTTTCCTGGCAGGCCCGTCCGAAGTCCAGGGCCACTGTGGCTTTGGGGCCCCGGCCAGCCTGCGAGCTGCGCCCCCTGGCGGATGTCCCGACCTGCTAGGCTTGTGGGCAGACGGGAGTCAAGGGCCTAGTCCCCTGGGAGCCCAATTTTAAGTGGAACTGCCTTAATCTGGGCTAGCTTTGGGGAACTCGCCACGCATCACAGGCCCAGCCAGCCCCACAGTCCTGCTCCCACCAGCTGGCAGTGGCTGGCCCTGCCCTTCTCCGAGCTGGGGGCCAGGCCCGGGCGAGAACAGAGGGCACTAACTAGCCTTGCTCGCGGCTTACCTGGGCTCATCCCCGGCACCATGCACTGCCCCCAGGAGTGAGCCTGAGCACCGCCAGGTGGGCGGGCAGGGTTCCCTGAGCCCTCGGAAGGGGCATGGCGAGAGGCCGGGGGGAGGACCGGGCGAGCCCCGGGGCAGTCCCAGGCCTGCCGAGCACTCCTGCCCAGGGAAACCAGGAGTCCTGCCCCCGCGGCACTGGGGGCAGCCCCAGGATGGTCCAGCCAGTTCCCACACTCCCACAGCCCCTGAAGGTGACTCCCCAGTCTCAAGCTTCCCAGGCCTCCCACCCACTTCCTGCCAATTAGCTGCCAATTACCACCTCACTGGCTCTGCTCACAGCAAACACCTCTGGGGCAGGGCAGGCAGGGGCGGGCACAGCCCACCCCTCAGAGTCAGGCTTCCCTCCCAGGGGCGGGCAGAACTCTCCAGTGGGAAGGGAAGCCCTGCTGCAGGGAGCAGGCTGGCGGCCCAGTGGGTCTTCCAAAGGGTTCCCCAAGGCTCGCTGGGAGTTTGGCCCTCGCCAAACCCATAACTAAGCCCTGAGCACCCCTGGGTAAGGCCCCCGAACAGGACAGAAAGGGCAGCGTCTGCAGTCGAGGGCCAGGTGGGTGGTCCCGTGGGTGCTTGCAGCCATAAAAGCTTCCTGAAGTCTCCTGGGTTTAAGCCCTGGGCAGAGCTGGAAGGTAGCTCCGGAGTCCCTGGGAGTCCCTGGGGTGTGGCCCCACATCCAGATGCTGCCCTGAAGCCAAGTGGGAAAGGGGGACGGGCAGGGAGGCCATGAAGGGCCCAGCCAGGCTTGAGCATGGTTCCCCCCACGGGGCAGGCAGGGACCCAGCACCCCGGCCAGGGAGGGCGCCCTGAGCACCCCTGGGGCTCAGCCCCCAGAGACAGACCACGCCCTGCTCACGTTCCACAACTTTAATAGAATACTCTAACTATTCTGTACAAATGGAAACACGGTCTGTTACAAATGGGTGAGCCGGGCAGCCTCGCCCCGCCCAGACACAGCGGGACGGGACGCGCGCAGGGACCCGGCTGGCCACGCTCCCCCAGTCCCGTCTTCACAGCCAGACAAGCCCGATGCGGCCCGAGCCCGCACAAGCAGAAAGCGATAAATAAATACGAGGAGCCTCGCCCTGGGACAGGGCCAGGAGACCCCCGCGAGGCTGGGCGCCTCCCCGGTGGAGGCGGCTCGAGTCCACCAGCTGGTCGGGCCGTGAGGCCTGCGGCTACTCCCACACGGTCTACGGGCCCCGGGCAGGGGCTGGGGAGGCCCGAGTTGCAGCCTGGCCGGGGCGGGGCTGCCGTCAACCTCCTGTTTCTGAAATGCACTGAAGCCGTCACTGTACAGGTTAAGCAAAATAACCGAGAGAAAGGAAAGGCGAGAGTAAAACCATGCACTTGACAACGAGGCTCGCCGGCCGGCGTCCCCCGCGCTGCGGCGGCTCACTGCTGCTTGCACTCCGAGGGCTGGCTGGGCTCCTTCTGCAAGACACACGCCGTCAGAAACCGCGCCTTCCGCTCACGCCCACAGCCCCCAGAACACAAGTGACAGCAGAGCCGACGCCGCCGTGCTCCCTGGGCCACCTCGGGCTGGCCGGGCGCGACGCCCCCGGCTCAGCGGGACAAGGTGCCTCAGGTGAGCTGCCAGCGCTGTGTGCTGGGCCAACACCCAGGGACGTGGAGCCGGCGCGTGGCACGCCGACACGAGACTCGAGCCCCTTCCCTGCAAGCCCACGGCGAAGACGGAGATGAGGAACGAACGTGCAGGACTCGGGGCCAGAACAAGGGTACAGGGAGGTGTCGGCCTTGGTCCCTGACATCCCCAGAGCTGGCCGGGGGTACTCCCGAGAAGGGAGCCCGACACCGCTGGGTGCGGCGAGCACAGAAATGAGAAAAGGCTGTGCGACACAGAGTGGCCAGGGCCGGGCGCGATGGGACACTGCTCACAGCTCTCTGGGGGCCACACCACGGGTGCTCAGGTCTTACTCCTGGCCGGGCGCGGGGACCATGTGGGGTGTCAGGGACGGCACCCGGGCTCCATGTGCTTCCCACTAGGGGAAACTGGCATGGGGGGCCCTCAGGGAAAACAGGCAGGGGACATGAGGGGACACCGCCCTGTTTCCCCAGGTGGAAGCCCAGGGAAGGGGCTTTGCTCTGCCGGGCAGGAGCAACGCAGCGGCCCCTCAGCCGGGCACAGAGCAGCTGCGCCCACGGCCCAAAGCAAGCGGGGGCGGGGTCTGGGACTGGCCATGCCCCCACAGGACCCCTGACACGGGCCACCGGGAATACACATGTCCACTCCAGACTCCCGGGACGGCTCTCATTCCGGCCCGGTCCAACAGAGAGCAGCTCAGCCCGGGGTGAGCACTGAGGGGGAGTCCAGAACGGGAGGTGGCAAGGCCTCCAATGGAGCCAGGCTCACCATCGGCCCACCCCAAATACTCACCTTGGGGTTCACCTCCGCGTCCTCCTCCTCTTCTCCCTCCTCATCACCTTCCAATTCCTGTGAGGCAGGAGAACCAGCTGAGTGTGGAGCCGGGGCCCCCGTGGGGTTCACTAGCCAGACAGTGAAGGAGGCAGGGCCTCCCGAGACTCATCCCTGCCACCCACCGCGGCCGAGTCACCCCTGGACACTTGGGAACTTTCTGGCTCCCCTCTGGGAGAGAAACCCTCAAGCAGCAGAACACTGAAAGAGCACATCTCACTAACTCTTTGAGGGCCCATCACCGGACACTCAGGCCGGGACAGGCAGCTCAAGGAGCATGGTTCCCCCACCCCGTCCTGAGCACTGCTGACCCCCAAACCAAAAGTCACAACAGCCAACAGTCTGGTGATTAGCACAGCGCCACGGGGTGAGGGACGGGGCAGCACTCGCCCTGCTCACAACGCGGACCCTGGTCCACTCCCAGGTCAGCGAGGGCAACAGGGCCCCTCTCCTGTCTCCACGGCAAGGGCAGAACCTGCCCGCCCACCCCGGGGAACGCGGACAGCCCTGGAAAGCCGCTTACCTCCTCTTCTCCTTCCTCACCTTCTTCAAACTGCAAAGAGGAGAATGTGGTCAGGCTCGGACAGGCGACAGCGACCGGCCCAGACCCGCCCATCAGGTCTCTGCAGCCAGCCCAGCTGTTACGCTGCCGACAGAGACCTGAGAGAAAGGCACGGGACAGACACGGCTAGCTGCCCCTGCCTGGAAATAGCCCAACTAAGCCCCACTGCTGCGTTAGTGCGCAACACACAGGATCCCAGTATCGTGCTCTGCCCTGGACGCAGAAGAGGCATCCGCAGGGATCGGGGAACTTGTCTTGCAAGTGGCCGTCCTGGGTTTGATCCCCAGCACCACGTAGCACCACGTACGACCCGTACGCGCTGGCAGCAGCTGGCCCGGGCACAGAGCCAGGAGGAGCCCCGTGCACCGCAGGGTGCGGGCCCCACAGCACCCAGACAGGCACCCGCACTCGGCTGCAGCGCCCCCAGCTCCCGACAGACACACTGGCTCTGGTAACCGCATGCTCACAGCAGGCCCAGCTCCCCACCGGCTTCGGCACGGGGGACCGTTCCCATGGCACTGGGAGGGGCGTGGCCAGCCCACGTAGCTGCGCCCGCAGTACCCGCCCCGACCCCCGGCCTCGCTGGCACAGGTGAAGGTGTGGGGGCACAAGCAGCTCTCCAGAGACATGGACCCCGAAACCTGCCCGGGGTGATGGGGAACCCTCTCGGGAGACTGGGGCTGCTGCTCAGGCCCCCTAGTTCTCAGCACGAGCTGGCAGGGCTGAGAGGTGCCACCCTGGGCATGATCTTCCTTGTGCCTAGAAGCCACCAAGTGCACAAATGTGACAGAAAGGGCAGCCCTGGGTCACTCCAGGGGGCTTGTCTCTGGACAGGTCAACACCCTGGCATCACTGAGCTGGCCGCGCAGGAAAACCGTCTGAGCTGGCCGGAGTGCTGACCTCTGCCTGCACGTCCCGAGCAGCTGGGGTGGCCCCCCACTCCCCCCGGGCACACTCAGGCGTACGTACGTTGTCGTCGTCCTCGATGGCCTCCCCTGTGAAGTAGAGCACGGCGCGGGGCACGATCCGCTCGCGGAAGAAGTGGCCGATCTCAAAGTCCGAGGCCAGCGTGAACTCTGAGTCTTCGTCCTGCGGGCATAGCCGGTGAGTGCAGCACGAGCCCGGCACCCCGCCCACCTCCCCAGAAGCCCCAGCGAGCCCCCTGCCTCCCGGCCACAGCTACTCGGGGCAGCGGGTCCCAACAAGGACACAGCCTTACCAGTGACTCTCCGTCCCCAGAGGCTGCAAGAGAAAAGAGGAGACGGTCAGCGCACAGCCGGCCTGCCATGCTCTGCGTGTCAGGGAAAGGAGACACACGGGGACAGTCCTCGTGGACGGGCTGTGGTGGCCTGCAGTCCCTCAGCTGACCTGGCCTTCCTGTCAGCGATCCCTTCTGGGGGGAAGGCCACATTCTCTTGCCCTCACCTCCCCTTTGGGGACTGGCTCAGGAGCCACAGTGACTGCTGGGTAGCAGCTTTCAAGAAACCACGAGGAACGAACGTGAGTCCGATGCAAACTGTGTTGCCAGGAGAGGCCAAAAGTGGCCCTGGCGGGTGAGGCAGGTCACCACAGACTCCAGTTTCCCCTTCCCCACCCGCCAAACCTCGGGCTGCAAAGCTCTCAACTCAGTCCCACTGAAGCGCGCTACTGTTTAAAACCCAGGATTTGAGTGTGTTTGGTTTCTTGGGCCACACCGGCTGGACCCAGGGGACCGTATGAGGGGATCAATCTGGGGTCAGCTGTGTGCGAGGCAAGTGCCCGGCCTGATGTACCACTGTGGCAGTGCCAAGCGATCTCCCAGCATGCAGCTGACCTTGGTCCATCCAAGCCATCACCCACGGGAGCCACCAGGGGTGAGCCCGGAGCACTGCCAGGTATGACCCCAGAAAAAAGAAAAAAGGCACAGCTCCCCACAAATTAATCTACTAACCAGCAGAGAGAGGCCCTACAAAACCCAGCGGTCCAAAGGGGTCGGCTCCAAAACACTACAAAGGTCAGCCAAGACTTAACGAGTAATTTACTCTGCAAAACTGCCATTACTAATTCCAACCTCGTCCTTGTTTCGTAACTGAGGACCCAAAGGATGAAGTCCAACTCAGGATCCTGCCCTCACAAACTACCGGAAAGGCAGCGCTGGGCCCGTCTGTAAGCAAGAAGTCCAGAAACACCAGGAACCCAAGGACAGGGGCAGCCGCAGGGGGCAGCAGGGGGACGGGGGCCGGAGGGGCCGCAGGGGGCAGCGGGGAGACAGTGGGGGTTGGGTGCAGGAGGGGCGGCTCAGGGCCTGGCAGGCCAGGCCCGCGTGTGGGGGCCCCCAGTGGGCCTGTCTGGCCGCCACACACGCACCTTTGAGCGGGCTGAAGAAGTTGAAGAAGGAGTCGTTGGGCACCTGCTTGGTGATGGTGCGGACGGTGCCCCGGCCCTTGTGCTTCTGCTTCTTCTTGATGGTCTTCACGGTGACGTTCTTGCCCTTCTTCCAGTCGATGCTGCACCTGCGGGCGGCAGCGAGCGTCACTAGAGGGCCACGTGCCCGTGAAGCCACCGAAGGCCAGATGCCTCCCGAGACCCCAGAGGCATCTGCAGAGGGCCCCTGAGACCCAGGCACAGGATGGTCACGAGCCTGTCACCTGCGTGCCTGCAGCCACCACCCGCACATCCAGGACCTCCGGGCAGCAGAGCGTGGCCACTCCAGGCTGTGGGCCCTGTGGGCCGGGAGCAAGGCCTGCGTTCTGGCCCTGGATCCCAGGAAGCACGACTGCACCCCCAGACCCTGCCGCGGCACCTGCCCGATACCAGGCGCTTCCTCAGGGCCCAGTCCTGGGAGAGGCGGAGCACCCGGCACCTGCACGCACCCACTGAGAGGACTTCCATCAAGCAGGGGAGAGGATCCCAGCCCGCAGGCCATCCCTGCCGCAGACGCACCAGGGCCCCGGGGCCAGTCATGGGAACACCCCATCCACAGGCCGTCAGACGGCTGCTCCGCTCATTCCCCCGGCACCGGGCCCGGCCCAGCCACGACGTCTGGGTGACCATGACCGTTTCCTAGCACAAGCAAATGCCAGCAATAGAATCACTGTCCTGCACACCTTCTCTACTGGGCTTCAAGAGGCAAGACTTTCCTTTCTTAACCTAGTTTCTACCTTGCACGTGGAGTCTTAAGGCGTTTCCTGCTTGGATTCAGAACGAGGCGTTGAAATGTCCTTACCCGTCACAGTCGACTATTTCGGGGCCTTCAAAGGAAAAGGGGTCAGTCTTATCCGGCTCCGACTTCATCTTGTACGTCTTCGTCAGGACTGAGTTGGTGAAGTAGTCATTGGGCTCAAAGTGGAACTCTAATACAAAAGACTAAAGATAAAACTCGGGTGAGCACCACTTAACATCCAGGAGGACGCAGCCTGACCAAGGGGACGCGCTCAGTGTGACTTCCCGAGCCGCGGAACCCGCTCTCCTCTCAACGCCAACTCGGGCTGCATCACTGCTGGAGAGCCCCACTGGCGGGCGAGAGTCGAGAGCAGGAGGAGGACACTACACTACACTGCCCAGCCCAGCCCAGCCCAGCCCAGCCCAGCCCAGCCCAGCCTGGCCCGGCCCTAAGTGGGGAGCAGGGCTGGGGTGCCCAAAGCGAAGCCAGGCCGTCCCGTCCTTCACCCCCCAACCCCTGCAGGTTCAGAGCGTGCGTGGCAGGGAAGGGGACCAAGAACACCTAGGGAGCAGAGTCCCCAGACCAAGAGGCAAGCAAGAGTCACGCTTGTGAACAGTCAAGCGGAAGAACGAAGCATGCCCTTCCTGGGCACACGCATGGATCAGGAGCGCCGCCAGGGCCGTGGGCACACGGGCACCCCGTGAGGGCTGTGTGCCAGGAGGCCGCGACAGTGCTACGGCTGTCCCGTCCTGTGGCGCGCCTGCCGAGGACACGCAGACAGACGCACGGCCGCGTTTCCTGGCCGTGTTCCCCAGCGCCACAGGAAGCTGCCCAGAGAGCAGGGCCAGAGGGGGGAGGCGGGGCCGCGGGGTTCTGACAGGCCCAAAGGCCAGCCTGCTTCCAGAAGGGTCAGCAGCAGGACCCGGCCACAGGTCCTGCCCTTAGCAAGAGCGGCAATGGGGGAGACAGGCGCAGGGGCCGAGCCCAGCACCCATGTCCCACACCCTCTCCTCCGTCCCATCCGACTCCCCCGCCTCCTCGCAGACCAACACGCTGTTTCCCTCAGGGCCCAGAGTGACCGATACCCTGAGCTACGAGGCGAGGGAAGCGGGCCCGGGAGTGAGTCCTGGGGCTATCCCTGACCATGGTCAGTTGTGACCGGGACAGGAGGAGCACGGGCACCGAGGCTGCAGTTTCACTAAGGGTGAAGGCTGGGAAGCCCCCGGTGCTGCGGCCCCCGTTCCAGGAGAGGGAGCAAGTGAGAGCAAGGTCTCCCAGAAAGGGGCCCGGGACATGCCAGGGGAGGCCGAGCCCCGAGCACATGCCACGCCCAGGAGAACACTCGGGAAGAGGCAGGCACAGGCGGGGCGGCCCTGCCCCTGCGCGCCCGGAGCTGTCCCCAGGGCCTCAGTCCGAGAGCCCAAATGGGTCAGTCGGACTCGGGCCTCTGGACTTGCTGTGGCACTGGAATGGAACCCACTTGCCACGGCAGACTGCAGGTCACGAACAGTGCTGGGCGTGAAAGGGGGAGGCGAGCCACCGGGCGCCCAGGCTTGTCGGCAGCGCGGACTTCCCGGGCCCCCGTGCCCCCTGGAAGAGCCCTCTCAGTGCCCGCTGCCCTGCCCGTCAGAAGGGCAGCGAGGACTTACCATGGGCTGCCCGGGGTCAGAGAACTTGACCTTGATGTCCTGCAGGTGCTTCAGGATAGGCTCGTCATACTCCTGTTGGGAGACAAAGAGGGTCCCAGGTCTGTTGCGGCCGCGTGTGTCCTGGGCACGGCTGACTCGCAGAAGCCACCCCGACTGGCTCATCACCAGCACAAGGATGGCTGCGAGCCAGCCTCGCAGGCTGGCCTGAACCCCCGCTCACACGGCCCGACGCCCCAACAGATGACGGGCAGTCTGGCCCAGTTCAGCTAAGCCTGCAGACCCTGGACAAGCCGATGCCTCAACGCTGCCCCAGGCAACCCGACATGCCCGGCGGGCCGTGCCCACTGGCTCTGGCCCAGAGCCTGGGCTGTCTCTCTGCACCTTCACCACCTCACGTGTAAACAAAGTTCAGACAAGAAAGCAGGTTATGGGGGCCAAGGTGACCGAGGAAAGGGCGGGTGGGGAGGGCACCTGCTGGGCACAAGGCCACCAGGTTAAGCGGGAACCCCAAACCCGAGCAGGAGTGGCCCTCCCCCATCCCGAGAATTATGGGGGGCCTTCACGCGGCCGTCAGTCTGGCGGGGGCTGAGCAACGCCCCCAGCCCAGACCACCAGGGACCGAATCACGAAGGGCTGTGCCAACTGTGGAGCGCCATGTCCGCCCGAGGAACCCCGCACTGTGCAGGCGTTGGAGCAGGTCTCGGCGTGAGCAGTGGAAAATGCTGGCGAGACGCTCCATGACTGCAGCCAGCTCCTGGCACCCCAGCCAGAAGCCAACCTGCCGGAACTCTCGGGCTCTCAGGCAGTCGGGCACGGCCACTGTCCCCACCTCCCTGCACTTCCGGAAGCCCAGGCCATCACACACACCCAACGCCGCCACCCAGTTAAGAACTGCACGTCTAGAGTGACTCTCAAACTCTACGGCACTGACAAACCAGGAGCAGCCCACCAGGTAGGGTGGGATGAAAGGCACAAGGCGCCAACCCCCACTGACAATACAGACACAGAAGGCCGGACCTGCAACACCTTGGTGATCGCTCCCAGAGACCTAATGGCATCACGGAGAGATGCATTATTCACTAACTGAGCTGTCCCCAGGGCCTCAGTCCGAGAGCCCAAATGGGTCAGTCAGTCTCGGGCCTCTGGACTTGCTGTGGCACTGGAATGGAACCCGCTTGCCACGGCAGACTGCAGGTCACGAACAGTGCTGGGCGTGAAGGGGGCAGGCGAGCCACCGGGCGCCCAGGCTCCCCGGAAGCGCCCTCTCAGTGCCCGCTGCCCTGCCCGTTTTCTTCTAAGGAAAGTTTTTTGTTATTCTTTTAGCAAATTATTTATAACAAGCAATATAAAATAAATTACTGAGGGCCTGTTAAGGGGACAGGTTTAAAGGGTGGTTGGGAAAATGAGAGATAATGGTGCTGGGATTGGTGTTGGAATATTGAATGCCCGTAACAAATCATCATGAGTTTATGTAAAGTGCAAGGGGGAAAAATGCTGACAAGCCAATGAGACTTTGGGCAAGGCCTATTTCTGAATTCCAGAAACTCTGTGTAGGAAAAGGAAATTTGCTATCTTTTATGTGACCTATTATTTTTATTACAGAAAACCTAAAATCCATGACAAATACAGAAAGAACAGCTACCCTCTGATTTCCACACAGCCCTTCACGGGAACTCGGATCGTGCAGCTAGCTAAGCTGCACAACCAAACCCTGAGGGGAGACAGGGAGACGAGGCGGGAACCTGCGCACAGAGAGGCCGTCAGTCCCATGGGGGCTTCGCCTGCAGCCCAGGCAGCCCTGCTCACTCGGCAGAAGATGGGGCGGGTGGAAGGGTCCTGAATCTACCTGGCAGGCTTTCCAGGAGAGGCGGCAAACATTTCATGGACGCGACCCCAACTACGGTGCCCCGCGGTGGCTGGGGCTCGCGCTGCCGGCCTGAGTGCTGAGGAGGAAGATGGCCTCTGGGGAAAGCCCGTGGGCAGGGCGCTTGCCTTGCACAAGGCCAACCTGGGTTTGATCCCCAGCACCCTATTTGGTTCCGAGCAGTGGCAGAACGATTCCTGAGTGCAAGCCAGAAGTGAGTCCTGAGTGCCACCGAGTGTGACCCACCCCCTCCAAAATACACGACTGGGGGCTGGAGTGATAGCACCACGGGTAGGGCGTTTGCCTTGCACGAGGCCAACCGGGTTTGATTCCTGGCATCCCATATGGTCCCCTGAGCACCACCAGGCGTAATTCCTGAGTGCAGAGCCAGGAGTAACCCCTGTGCACTGCCAGGTGTGACCCAAAAAGCAAAAAAAACCCCCCAAAACTAGAGACACACCTGTGACCGGAGTGACAGTACAGTGGTGGGGTGTTTGCCTGGCACGCGGCCGGGGTTCAATCTCCGACACCCACACGGTCCCCTGGGAACCGCTGGGTGTGGCTCCCAAACCAAGACCACAGGACATTCCATCCACAGGCCCTGCCGGCGCCCAGGAGCATTCACACGGACGATGCTCGCGCTCACCTGGACCAACTCACTGAGCATGTCCACGTTTCTGAAGATGGTGAACCAGAACTCGGGGATGCCCCTGGGGTTGGGCTCCTCTGCCTCCGCCGCTTCCTTCTCCGCTATGACGACTTTGTTTTTCACATCTCCCTTAGAGTTAAAAAGAAGAACCAGGAGAAATCCACAAGTGCACCCAACAACCTCCCAGACCACCGGAACTGACTCCTCCCCAGGCAGCAGCCTCCCCTCCGAACCGGCACCGGAGACCACGGTGCGCACGTCCAGGGCCTTGACGAGACGCCAACGCCACGTGCCCGTGTGGACAGATGGGGACAGGGACCGGGCAGTAGCATGCCCAAATGGACAGACAGGGACCGGAACTGGGCAGTCAGCGTGCCTGTGTGGATGGACGGGGACAGGGACACACGCCGATAAGGTTCTGCGCGCCGCCTGTGCAGCAATGAGGTGCCGGCTGCCTCTTGAGGCACGACCCGCCCGCCTCAAGCCGGGAGCAGCTCTCTAGGCCAGTGCTGAGGCGGGATACGTGGAGACCCAGGTTTAAGCCTGACTCCACAGCCCACCGACTCCAGACTGGAGCCACCCCATGCCCCCAAACTAAAAACAAAACCCACCCCCAGCCCAGGGGCCACTCACAGCCAGCTTGTCCTCCTCTTCGTTCTCACTGTGCCACTCTGACTCGGCGTCCGTGGGCTCCACGTCCCCAGTGATGAATTCCCTTCTCTAAGTGACAAGGAGACCAGAGGTAGTGCATCATCCCGAACCCCAGAGACGCTTGCGAGTAACATCGACCTCAATGGGATCTATGAGCCCTTTTATTTCAGGGCTTAAAGAATGAGACTCCGGGGCCAGAGCAACAATACTGCGGGGAGGGTGCTTGCCTTCTAGGCAGACCCGGGTTCGATCCCGGCATCCATATGGTTCCCGAGCCAGAGACGGAACCCTAGGAACAGAGCCAACCCCTGAGCACAGCCAACTGTGGCTCCAGAAGCCAGACAAGAAAAGGAACAAGACTCAACAATTTGGGGCTGGAGCAATAGCACAGTGGGTAGGGCGTTTGCCTTGCACACGGCCGACCCGGGTTTGATTCCCAGCATCCCATATGGTCCCCTGAGCACCACCAGGGTTGATTCCTGAGTGCATGAGCCAGGAGGAACCCCCGTTGCAAAACCAAGTGTGACCCAAAAAGCAAAAAAAAAAAAAAAAAAAAAAAAAGACTCAACAGTCTGCTGGGTGAATCTGAACGAGCGACACAGGCGAATTCCCTACCTTGTCGAAGAGAGGCTGGTACAAAGCCGCGTACTTCCTTTCCAAGTCGTGAACTTCTTCGTAGAACTTGGCTTCTATATGAGCACACTTGACCTGAAGCTGTTTCAATGCATTAATTCTTCTTTTTACTGCTTTAGGTAAACTAAGAAGAAAACACAAACAAAACATCCACACGCCTGAAAAAGAACACTTCATACTTATTGTTTTCTGGGCCACGTCTGGCAGCGCTCAGGGCGTCCTCGTGGCAGATTCGGGGGACTGGACACGGAGCTGGGAACAAACCCCAGTCAGCTGTGTGCAAGGCCAGTGTCTGAGCACGCCACTGCCCGTCCGATCCCCATCTTCATCTTTGTTAACGTCGATTCTCCAAGTACTGTGAGGAGCCCCACAAGCTTCACTAATAAAGTCAAGTTCACATCAAACGTACAACCTAGCTATGAAGACACTCCTAAACACCACTGAACACAGAAACACCAGAAGAACAAAAGGGGTAACGAAGGGTAGGGAAAGCTAGACAGGTGACTCACGAGAAACACAAAAGGAGATTTAAGGTCACAAAACAGCTAAAAGAACACAGACCTGTGTGGCCCAGGCAAGCTCCAAGCACTGCACCAGACCGCCGGCTCACCACGGGCCGAGCTTTATGAGGTGCCAGGAGCGGCCCCCCAGGTCGGGTAAGGCTACGGGCAAACGAGCCACAGACTGGCCGCACGTTTCATGGGGCTCAGCAGAGCCTATACTCAGCCTCTGGAGACCCTTCTGGGCCCCAGTGAGACCCTTCTTCCAGCAAACAAGAACCCTGGGTGCTTCCAGCAGGTGTGACCACAACCCCCAACAAAATTCCACCTAAGGGACAAACGAGAAGTGTGGGCTGAGGAGCAAGGAGGGAGGGAGGCATCCCTGGAGGTGGGCGGGGTACGGGAGCACACCCAAGTGTGAAACACGCATACGGGTTCTGAAGAAAGCAGCCACTGTTCAAGTGACCGTTGAAGAAATTTTAAAAACCATGGGAGCTGGAGGACATTTGCCTTCCACACGACCAACCCAGGTTGGATCCCGGCATCCCATATGGTCCCCGAGGACTGCTAGCAGTAATTCCTGAATGCAGAGGCAGGAATAACCCCCTGAGCATTGCTGGGTACGATCCAAAACCAACAAAATCTCCCAGCCCTGCCTTGGGTGCCTTTGCAGCCAGTTTGAGATTTTGCAGTTAACTGAGAAATCACAAGAAAACTGATTTTAGGGCCTGGAAGATGTTAGAGCAGGGAAGGCGCTTGCAGACTGGACTTGATCCCCAGCACCTCACCCTGTCCCCAGCCCGCCCAGCTGGGGACATCCCTAAATGCAGTCAGGAGTAAGCCCCAGGCACCAAACCCAAACTCAACAAAGGAAAACCCTCCACTGATCTGTTTCCCAGCCCCTGGCCCCAGGCTGCTAACTCAGCACAGACCCGGAGGCCAGCAGAGCCAGCAATGTGTGCAGGCCGCCTTCTCCCCGGCACACAGAAGAGCTTTAGAAACTGCTGGTTTACACTGCAGAAAGCCCTGGAAGAGCCTGGAATCCCAGAGCTCATCAAATCCAGGGTCACGTGGGGTCAAAGTCCCCCGCTAAACCTCCGCAGCAGTGTCTGTCTGGGACTGGGGGGAGGTGGGCCAATGCACTTCCTTTCTGCATGGGGTACAGGCAGCACTGGCGTCCCTGCCCCCAGAGGCACACAGAGCACACCCAACCCGGAGCTCAGGGTCCCACAGAGCTGCCCACCCCCTCCCCTGTGGCCAATGCTGCCCTGTCTGCCCAGTTTCATAGCCAGAGTCGGAAACCGCCCTGACCGAACCTCCCCATTCTCCTGGCCCCTGCACCTCACCACTGGCCTCCCCCATCCCCCGCACCTCGGGCGCCCAGCCCTGCCCCGCCTGGCCCAAAGGGGCTTCCCTAGGTCTGGAGGTGGCGGTGCTTCCGCCTCCGTCTGCAATGTCCTCCACCTGCCACAGGATGGCGCCCTGCCCGCACCTGTCTCGGCATCACCCTGCAACACACCACACCCACTTCCTTCTGGCATACTCACGTCTCAATGTAGCTTGAAGGCGTGTGGGAGACCGTGTCCAGTCGCTCCTGCAGCGCCGCCAACACCTGGGGGTTCTGCATCACCTGATCTGTGAGCTTTTCTATGGAGAGAGAGAGCAGCACCGCTCACAGGCTGCCGAGAGCAAGGCGTCCCGCCTACCCAGCAGCTTGGCTCAGCAACCGAAGTCTAGCCACGGCAAGGGGCTCCTTAGGAACTGTAGGATAACACCGGTTTGTCCCTTCTCCCTTGCCACAGGGAGCTTAGGTTACACGCATCACAGTGCTCTGAGTCACTGCCAGCCCTCTGTATTTATCTGTCAACTCTTTTCTGTGCTCTCCTCCCTAGCCAATTAATCAGCTTTTCCCCCTAGTCAGATTCTGTTAGCTTAGATCAGATCCTTCTTAGGACACTGAACTGGTAAGTTACAGTCTCCTACATAGTTTACCTTAAAGCAATGTCCTCTCTGTATGGACACAGGAAGACAGTTAATATTTTGTTTTTGTAACTTGGGAGTTGATTGACTCCGAATAATATTTATTCCTGGGCATCTGCTTTCTTGACTCAGTTGCCCTTAGTTTCTAGCACACCAAAAGCAGGATCCCGACAAGGGACTGAATGGACCCAGGGCAAGCTGTGAGCTACCCTGGCATCGAAATGGGCCTGGCCAAAGCGCCATAATACGCAACTATAAGCTGAGGGCATGATCATGGACAAATGCTGCCACGATCCAAAAGTAATGACGAGACTAGAACCCTGCTGGGGTTAGTTAGACTAACTTGGCCTGAGGACTGTGGTCTGGAATATATAGTGAGATGTCCTCAGGAAGAACCAAACTGTACGTTTCTATCTCTTGCTGTGCTCATCATACAGAATGGCATTGCTAGAAATATTAGATTTACTACAACCATCTAAGTGGATTACTAGCTAAGGAAAGAACACACCCTCACTGGGATCCCACCTTGAGCGGATCTCCTAGTAATCTGGGGTAATCTCTTTAGATGAGATTTTATCCTTGAGTTAATCTCCTGGAGCAGTGGTCTTTACGTGATTGCTATATAAACGGAGACTGTAAGATAGGAGGGAGCCTGGGCTCGCAGAAGGGGAGTGGAGATTGGAACAAACTACAATTGATAGCGACCAGCCTGGCCCCCGGGGTGGGGGAAGCAGCCCGACACGACCAAATGCAGGCAGCAAGAGAAAGAGCACTGCTGGCCTTCTGAAAACACACAAAGAACATGTCTCAAAAGGATTCAAACGGGGTCGGAGCGATAGGACAGCAGGTAGGGCAATGGCCTCGCACAGGCTGCCCTGGGTTCGACCCCCAGTCAGCGATCCCCTGCCGTAGGAGGATCAGGGGACAAGAGGTGCTCAGGCAGGGGACGCTGGGCAGGGAGGCATCTGCCTGCACAAAGCTGATGACACAAAGAGTCCCTTTCACTAATCACTGATCTTCCTCAGGATTCCTCGTCCCGGTCAATGTTCCCAGCGCAAGGGCCTGTCTGCACACGCTCCCCAAACTCCTCTCTCAAATGCAGGGGACTGACCTGTATTACTTGCATTTTTTGCAGCTTCCACAGAATCCGAAGGAGCACCATCTGAAAAACTGAAACAGGGTGAAAGGCTCAGAGGCGTCCCTGGGGAGGGCTGTCAGACTCAGGGAGTGACAAGGGTGACCTGAGAGATTTTTTTTTTCTCTTGCCATTGGACACAGGCCCACAGCGGCTGCGCAAGGTGCCAGTCTCGAAAACCAACTTCACCCAAATAGCTGTAGCATCAGGGATGCCGAGAAACACGTCCCTTCACCAGAAGCCAAGGCTCACGTGCGAGTGGGTCGGGGGCTGCACTGAGCTAACAGCTATGTCTCACCACAGGCCTATGAGCACGGTCGCCCGTGGGACCTCACTGGGGACAGAGGCTGACACGCCAGCAGGGCAAAAGGCCAACATCACATCAGGGGGCGGAAGCATGCCACAGGTGGCATCAGGAGCAGAGCATACAGCCCCGAGCACTGTGGGTCGAGCCCCTTCCCACCCCGAACAGCAAACCCAGGAAGTGAACTCTGCCTCAGACTGGGTCGTGGCCTGACAGCTGGGCTGCACCCTCACACCCAGAGCAAAGCAGGCTCCGCAATGGCCTTGTGTCTGCAAACAGCGTCACCCGGCGGAGACAGGACAGCAGGGAGGACATCTGCCCTGCACAATGCTGGCTCGGGTTTGACCCCCCGCGTCCCGTCTGATTCCCCTGAGCAGCGCCAGGAGTGACCCTGAACATTGCCAGATGTGGCCCAAATCCCTTCTCCCAGAAGTGCCACCAGCCAGAACCCCCCACCCCGCCGGAGAAAGGCCTTCTGGCTTACCTGTTATCTGCCATCTGAATGTTTTTAGCTCCTATAAATTAAGAGAGAGAGAACATTGAGCATTACTTAGCATCAGAATTGTGAAAAGATGACAGTGGCTCGCGATTTCTCTAGATTCCATTTTCTCTTTTAGAAGATAGAACCTAATCTAACGCCAGCTTCTCTCTCACGGGGCATCAGTTACTGGGAAACAAACACGGGTCCAAACAGCACCCCACGCCCCACACCGCCATTCGGTGCCCATTCAGGATCCGTGCAATGCACTCTGCACTCTGAGAGAAAGTTCCCCTGGCAGCCCGGCTTTCCAGGCACACTCGGGGGCCCCTCCAGGAACTTTCATGACATCTCCAATGACACTTCCTGGCCTCTCCCTACGCCGGCCACTCCACTCACTCAGCCTCCACCTGCCCGGCCCCACACGGCTGCTGCCTCAGGCAGGATTCTGCAGTCCCCCAGCCCCCTGGGAAACCCTCCGTGGAGACAGTGAAAATGCCCACCCCGACCTACCACACGGGTGCAGCAGGGGCTGAAGGAACGTTCCCCCGCCCCCCCCCACGTTGAGGGGCCGCCTTCCTGTGACTGACGCACCCCATGCCACACCCAGAGACGGAGAGCACTCAACTGACACTGCAGAACCATGCCGTTTCATCACATCTGGTGACCTGATGATAAAGCACTTAAGCTAAACTCAAAATTCTCAAAACAAAACACTGGTGGTATCAGAACAGGAACAAAAAACAAAATAACTTTTTTTTTGCTTTTTGTGTCACTCCTGGTGATGCACAGGGGTTACTCCTGGCTCTGCACTCAGGAATTACCCCTGATGGAGCTCATATGGGATGCTGGGAATCAAACCTGGGTCGGCCACGTGCAAGGCAAACACCCTACTCGCTGTCCTATTGCTCCAGCCCCCAAAATAAGTCTAAACAAGAAAGAAAAAATAATGCTGAGAGACCAAAGAGATGCCTCATGGGCCAGAATCAACAGCACAGTGGTAAGGCGTTTGCTTGCCTTGCACGGAGCAGACCTGGTTTAAATCCCCAGCACCGACCCCCAAATTAAACTTAAAAATAGGGGCTGGAATAAAAGCACAGCGGGAAGGGTGTTTACCTTGCACGTGGCCAACCCGGGTTCGATTCCCAGCATCCCATATGGTCCCCTGAGCACCGCCAGGAGTAACCCCTGTGCATCGCCAGGTGTGACCCCCCAAATAAATTGAAAAATAAAATCCCTGGCACCCCATATGGCCCCCCAAGCCTCACCTATAGTGATCCCTGAGCACAGAGCCAGGACTGAATCCTGAGCACTGCTGAGTGTGGCAACAACACCAAGCAGGAGATGCCTCAAAGGCTGGGGCCTGACTTCCTCACGGAGGGCCTAGGGGCAAGGGGCGGGTGAAGGACAGGCGGGGCTTGTCCTGTTCTGCTGGTGCTTCGGGTCTCTTTGTTTTGGCTTCTGGGGCTGCATCTAGTAGTGCGCAGGGGCATCACTTCCTACCCGCCAGCCCGTTTCCTGATGCAGAACCTAGAAAGCCCCTGTGAGGCCGGGATGGACACTCCCACAGGGCAGCGGCCTCATGGAGCGGCCACTCCAGGCAGGAAACCAAGCCAGCCCGTGGCTTCCAGCCTGCCCCACTCATGCAGGCACTGAGTGGGTTCACCATGAGGCCCGCGAATGCACTGCTGAGACGAGGCGTTGGGGTGGGGTCACAGGCCCCTTCCCCGCGACGACAGGGAGCAGGGGCTACCTGGGGCGTATCCAGGCTGAGAAAGCACCTTAACCTCGGGGCTCTCTGCTGGGTCCCGGAAACTAATGCAGTTTGGTGACAAAAACAAGCTGGAGTGTCAGGCTTCATCACTGTAAACTTACTTTTTTGCTGCTGGTGGTGGTGTCAGTGGCAACTTATTCCAACATCTCTATTTACTCCTGTCTTCTCCCTCTGCTTCTCCCCCTGCTTCTCCCCCCCCCCCATGCTATTTCACACTCGATCCCTCTTCATACTTCTTCTCGACCCCTCTCCATCCTTCTTCTCTAAACTTACTTTTTTTGGGGTTTTTCTCCTGGCGCGGGGACCATATGGGATGTTGGGAATGGAGCCTGGGTCGGCCACGTGTGAGGAAACACCCTATTCCGGGCTAGAGCAAGAGCTCAGCGGGGAGGGCGTTTGCCTTGCACGCGGCCGACCCAGGTTTGATTCCCAGCATCCCATGTGGGCCCCTAAGCACCACCAGGGGTTATTTCTGAGTGCAGAGCCAGGAGTAAGACCTGTGTATCGCCAGGTGTGACCCTCCCCCCCAAATACACCCTATTTCTGTGCTACGGCTCTGGCCCACCAGAAACTTACATTTTATCTGGCAAGCCACACCGCTGCCAAAATGCTCTCCTGAACACTTCCCTGCTATCTTACCGGCAGTCTCTTTCCATGAAAACTATGTTGCTTCACTAAGAAAAAGTTACATGGAACAATCAAACTTGCAGGTTTGAAAAATAAGTACCAGGGGCTGGAGTGATAGCACAGCGGGTAGGGCGTTTGCCTTGCACGCTGCCGACCCGGGTTCGATTCCCAGCATCCCATATGGTCCCCTGAACACCGTCAGGGATAATTCCCGAGTGGAGAGCCAGGAGTAACCCCTGTGCATCGCCAGGTGTGACCCAAAAAAGCAAAAAAAAAAAAAAAAAAAAAGAAAGGAAAAGAAGTACCAACACAGGAATGTTGAGACGCCGACTAGACGATTTCACTTCTTTTTTCGAACCTACTACTGCTGGTGGTGCTCAGGGATCACGCCTGGCGGGGGCCACAGAGGGCGAACCTGAACCCCACTCCTCAGCTCTGTCCTACACTGTCAAAACCATGACCGGACAGCCCTAAATCTCCAGGCTCTTCCCATTTCTACAAGGAAAACACACTCAAAGGTGCAAGGCATCTTAAGCAAAGAGCCTGCAGAGAGGCGCTGGAGAACAGAGGGGCCCTTGACCGGAACCAGGACTGGGATGTAGGCGCGGTCAGAACCGGCCTGACTGGTAGGGCCAAAGCCCGGCTTGGATTCCCCCCCACCCCCGCCCGCACTGCAAACCCCAAAAGCCTTGGGTTTCCCCCGTTTCCTGGCGTAGGGGTGACCCCCAGCAGCGCCGAGAGCGCTCCCGGCTTTGTGCTGGGGTTGGTGGTGCCCACGAGCCTCGCCCACGCAGCTCTCAGGATGCTCAACACAAACCAATCTACTTCCACTTCCAAAGCTGGAACCACAGGAAACCCCACCGTAACGTCAGTAAACGTTCCGCATCCGTTTTCCGACGCCTCGCAGAACTATCTCTAAATTCATTTACCACCTACTCCCAAAATTGCGCCCACAGGTGAAAGTATTACATTTTTAGCTGATTTTCTAGCGCAACTTTATTTCTTCCTCTGGAGGAGAGTGTAAACACAGGCCTCTGCCACCACAAACCCTGCAGGGGGGTTTCCCCCAGTTGGGGCAGCGCATCTGGAGTGTAAGGAGAAGCCTGTCTTCGAGGTCATGTTCTCTTCCCCGCCAGCTAAGTACTGAACTCTATTTCTGATTTTTTCAGGAGAGGGGTGTTGGGGCACACTCAGAGATGCTTCAAGTCTTACCCCTGGCTCTGCACTCAGGAATTCCTGGCAGTGCTCAGGGGACCATACGGGGTCCCGGGGATCAAACCTGGGTCGGCCATATACAAGGCAAATGCCCTACTCACTTTACTGCCTTTCTGGCCTCCAGTTTGCTTTCTTTCTGGTTTGGGGGTCATACCCAGCGGTGCTCAGGGGACCTATGGGGTGCCTGAGATCAAACCCAGGTCAGCTGTGTCAAAGGCAAGCACCCTACCTGAAACGATTGCCTGCATGCAGTCTGGAGCAAGCCCTGAGCACCACTGGTTGTGATCCAAAAACCCAAAGATAATATAGATTAAAATTTAAGAAATCCCAACTTTTGCTTGTATACATTTAACATGTGATTAGAGTGACTCATTCCATTTTTATTTTTTTGGTTTCAGGTTAACACCCGGCTCAGGATTACCCTGCTCTGAGTGAGCTCAGGGATCACTCCTGGGTCAGATGCATGCAAGGCAAGCACCTTACCTGCTGTGCTATCGCTCCAGCCCCAGGAACTGGGCTGCTTTGTTTTGGGGTCTCACCTCGCAGTGCTCAGGGGCCAGAGGGAGTGCCGGGATCAGACCTGACCTGGGCGGTCACTCGCGAGGCAAAGAAAGGCCCTCCCTGCCGTACTCTCTCAGGTCCCTAAACTGGGCTACTTCTGAGACAACAAAAGACAAGTTAGGGAATATTCTCAACCTTCAGGTAATCCATTTTTTATATATGGATCATCTGTCTTCCGTCCAAGCTCCTCAGTGCCTTTTCTGGAGCTAATGAGTGATGAAAGTCAAATGCAATCCAGACTTTACAGTTTCCCTAGTTCCAGATTCCTACCCACTCGGGGAGGCAGTTCCTGTGCGCAGCGGGCAGCCACTGCGGGCACATAAACACAGCGCCCAGGGCGAAGTGACGGCAGGTCCTGGGGCTCAGACCCAAGCCCCGGGAGCACCAGATCTTAAGTTCTGGCTGACGACCACACCACACCTACTTGGGAGGAGATCGAGGTTACCCCCCCAACCCCACGCAGCACACCAGGCCGAGCACGAAGCCCGGAGCTGCTCTTCACCTCATCGTGCCCCAACAGGGAGTCTGTATTTAGTGGAGCAGAGGGTTCAGCTTGATTCTGGTGAATTCAATAGGCCAGCAGGTAAGCAAAGGTATCTTCAATGAAAAGCCAGCAAATTTAGGGGTGGGGGGCTCCCAGCTGGTGCTCAGGCCACCTAAGGTGCCGCTCCAGGACCAAGATTGGCTCCCAAACCTGGCGGTGCGGGGCAGGGCTGGGACAGGCAGGGCAGCACAAGGTGGCAGGACTGAACCTGGAGCCCTAACCCCTGCACCATCTCTCTAAATTTACAAGACAATGAAACAAGTTTTTGCAATAATTAAAACGTTCTCCTTCATTTAGCAACTGAAAGAATTATCTGGGGCCCTAAACTCAGGTAGTCCTGAAATTGTGCTCCAACTGATTTCAGTCATTTATACCCACCCCCCTTTTACTCCCGTCATTTATGCTGTAAAGCACTTGCCCTGCATGTGGTGAACTATGGTGAAGGCAGGTTCAATCCTCGGCCTCCCAGATGATCCCCCAGTACCGCCAGGAGTAACTGCTGAGAGCAGAGCCCGGAGTAATCCCTGAGCACTGCCAAGTATGGCCCCCAAACAAACAAAATGCAGAGTGGGGGCTGGAGGGCAGTAGAGCAGTGAAGGCACTTGCCTTGCATGCGGCCAACCCAGGTTCAATCCCCAGAGCCCTCCAGGAGTGACCCCAAGAAAGTCCTGAGCACCGCCAGGCGTGGCCCACTGTCAAGATGAAGCTGCTTGCCAGCTTGCCTGGCACCACAGTCCTGGCTCCACGATCCAGGCGCTGCCAAGGGTTCCCCAGAGCAGAGGTGGCCCTGGGCACTACTGGGTATGGTCACAAGAACAACAGGTACACACTATACACACACACACACACACAACTACATATGCAGATACACACAGACGTGGACACACGCACACACGGAAAGCTTCCCATCAGCACGTCAACACAATCTGAGTGAGACACCTCTCTTTCCCACTGGGGTCCGTGGGCTGGAGCCTCGCACTCAGCCCAGCTCCTGCAGACACGGTGCTCACCTCCAAGCTGCCTGTGCATCACCAGACAGAGGCCCCAGGCACCTGACAGGAGAAACCACTGCCCATCCACACGTCCACCAGGCCAGGAGGTCCTCCACTGGCCACTTCTCCCTCCACTTCCTTCACTCCATGGTCATTAGCATATGACTGAGTGAGGCAAACATCTGAGCATTTCCTAAGCCTATACTCCAAGGCCCTGTCACTGCGCAGTTCCTTCCCTCTCTCAAAGGCACCCCATCACCTTTCCGGGGCCCACAACTATGCGTGGCACAGGAAGGACATCCAAGAGTGCTGCAGAGCATTTTGGGAGAAAGTAATCTTTCTGCTTCCAACTGCATTCTCACAAGTGTTCCACGCAGATAAAAGCACTGCAGGCGGGCGGGAGATAGCACAGCCACTGGGGCGCTTGCCTTGCACTAGGCTGCCTGGGTGTGAGCCCTGCACCCTGGGTCACCGAGAGCCCACCCCCGCGGAGCCCCAAACCAAACCAGAAGGTACAGCTCAGCCTTCGACCACAAAATTTGTTTCTGAACAGGCTTTTGGAATAATAGTAACTACAACAACTGCTCCATACTCTTTTCGAGAGCCCAGGCCTGGGGAAGGTAGCTCAGAGGACTGCAGCACTGCTGGCTCTGCACTACATCGAAGCACTCCCTGAACAGCCCGGGCCAGCAGGGAGCTCACTACTATCTACGCAGGCAGGAGGCCCTGGTCCCACCCGCAGGGTTCCCTGAGCACATCCAGAAGCAACCCCCAAGCAAAGAGCCAGGGGCAGCCCTGAGCACTGCTAGACGCGTCCCAAAATTAAAAACTAAAACCATAAGTCACAAGAGTTGGGCTCGCAGGAGGACGTTTAAGGCCACACAACAGTCAAGATGGAAGGCACAGGTCACAAAGCAATCCTGTGTAGTTTTTTTTTTTTAACAGCAAGAACATACCGCCTGGGGTCGAGAGTGTAGGGAGCTTGCCTAGCACGCAGCTGATGTGGGTCCGATTTCTGGCACCCCTTACGGTCCCCCAAGCCTCGAGGAGTGGGCCCTGAGCACCACGGGGGTGACGACAAAACCACGAAATAAGAGAAAATGCTGAAGAATGGAACAGGCGCCCATTCTCCCTGAGCACGGTCTCTCGCGGTCCCTGCGATCATCTCTCCACTCCGGAGCCCGTATTTCCCCTTTCCTCTCACACAAGTTTCATTCAATAAAATCTTGCTTCGCACACACAGACCGAAATGGGGAATTCTCACTACCTCTGACTAAGGTTTTTCAGTTGCTCAGTATTCAAAGACAGGTCTCCAAAAGCATCATATGCGTTAGCAGTACCTACTCAGGAGAGAAACAGGCTACAGGGGGAGGCGGGGGGCAGACCCGGTTCCCTCGCTGGCGTCCCGTAGGGTCCCCAGCCCCGCCGGGAGGATTCCCGAGAACAGAGCCAGGAGTCAGCCCAGTGTGCCGCTAGTGCTGCCCAGAGCGAGAAAAGAAAAAAACAAAGAGAAGAAACAAGCTGGAAAGTAAGCGAAGGCCAGGGGGGCAATTTCCTGCCCCACTTCCGGCCTTATCTGACACTTTCCGCTTCTCCGCTCGGCCTGCTCAGAACAGCCAAACGAGGCCCATCTTTCTTACTCGAGACCCAGCTGCAGTTCCCAGCCTCAGCTGCAGTTCCCAGCCAGGTGCTGCAGATCGCGGGTTCCAGATAGTTCGCTCAGGGAAGGTCTTGGGAAGTTAGAGCACCTTCCCGCCCAGGGCTCTTCTTCCAAAACAAAGATAACGAGGTCACCCGCGGCGAAATTTCTGCAAGTCAAAAGGGAGCTTACAAAAAAAAAAAAGAAGTTTCAAACAACTTTACCCTTGCCGGCAGCAGAGAGGAAAACACACAGTTGTAAAAGAGATTCCTTTTAGTAACAGTATTGCAAACCAAAAAATAAAAAATAAAAAAAGAAAGTTCCTCCAAGGCAGGCTGGAGAGAGGCCTGGGCCAGGAGGCGGGAAGTGGACGCCGGTGATCAGAGAGCAAGCGCTGGAGTAAGGAGTAACTGCATGAGAGCGCGCTGGAGTAACTGCTCGGGAGAGCCCTGGAGTAAGGAGTAACTGCACGGGAGAGCGCTGGAGTAAGGAGTAACTGCACGGGAGAGCCCTAGAGTAAGGAGTAACTGCACGGGAGAGCCCTAGAGTAAGGAGTAACTGCATGGGAGAGCGCTGGAGTAAGGAGTAACTGCACGGGAGAGCCCTAGAGTAAGGAGTAACTGCATGGGAGAGCCCTAGAGTAAGGAGTAACTGCACGGGAGAGCGCTGGAGTAAGGAGTAACTGCACGGGAGAGCGCTGGAGTAAGGAGTAACTGCACGGGAGAGCGCTGGAGTAAGGAGTAACTGCATGGGAGAGCCCTAGAGTAAGGAGTAACTGCACGTCTGGAACGCGATCCAATAACTTTGCGACCGTGCGGTCCACGCACGATTCGATTTTTAAAAAGGGGGTAAAAAACAAATAAAATAAAAGGAGAGGCAGCCAGGGACGGCGGGCGTGACGGCGAGCACCCGACAGCCCGGGCGCACACAGCGCGAAGACGCGCCTCGCTCGGCTCTGACTGACTGACTGACTGACTGACTAACTGACGGACTCGCTCCCTCCCATTCCCCACCCGCGTTTGGGGAGGGGGCCGCGCGCCGCAGCCTCGGCCGGGGGCCACGTGGTGGTGCGGGCGGGCGGGCGGGCGGGCGCCGGGCGCCCCGTCCTCCGCCCGGGGGGGGCAGCCGAGGTCACGTCCTCGCGGCGCCGCGTCCGTGGGTCGCGCGGCCCAACCGCCCCCGCGGGGCCGGGGGGCGGCCGGGCCCAGGCGCCCACGCCGAGGGCGGCCCGCGCGACGGGGGTCGCCGCGCCCGGCCCCGCGGCCGCCGTCCCGCCGGGTCACCTTGGCGGCGGGCGGGCGGGCGGGCGGGCGGGCGGGGGTCCCGGCCACCACCCCGCGCGCCCCCCGGCGCGAACAAAGGGCGCGCGGCGGCCGCACGCGCCGCCCCTCAGCGCGGCCCCGGCCCGGCGGGCGGGCGCGGCCTCCGACCCCGGGCGCGGACCCCGCCCGCCCGCCCGCCCGCCCGCGCCGCCGCCGCCGCCCGAGCCGCCGGCCCGGCCCAGCCCGGCCCGCCCCGGCCCGCGCGCCCGCCCGTTACCCGCTCGGAGCCGCGCGTCCGCTCCTCACGCCTCCTGCCGCACTGGCGGTGGTGCCTGCGCTCGCTCCGGGGGCTGCGCCGCCGTGGCCGCCAACAACGCGGCCGCCCATTGGCCGGCGCGCGGGGCCCCGCCCCCCGCCAGCAAGGCCGGACGCCATTGGGCGGGCGGCGCGCAGGCCCAGTGGGGCTCGGCGCCGCGGCAGCGGCCAATCGGAGGCCGCCGGGGGCGCGCGGGGCGGGGCGCGGGGCGGGGCGCGGGGCGGGGCCGGCGGGGCGGCTCCCGGGACTCCCGCAGCCCCGCGTGCGTGCGTGTGTGCGTGCGTGGTGCAGGGCGCCCGCCGCAGCCTCCCCGCCCGGCCCGCGCTCACCCCAGTCCTCCCTCCGGCGGGTCCGCCCAGAGCCCCCGGTTGGGTTCTTCTCGCGGGGGGCGGCTTGGCCTGGTCAGTTTTGCGGCCCTGCGCCCGCGCCCGCAGCTTGACCGCATCTGGTGCCGTGCTGGGGAACCCGGGAACCGGGAGGGGTCTTTGACCCTGCAATGCAGGTCTGGGCCTCACCAGAGTGGAGGACAGGCAGTGATGTCCAGCCTGGGGACAGCTGGCCCAAAAGAACACGACCCCCACCTCCTCCAGGCTGGGCAAGCAGCTGACCCGGGTTCCACCTGTGCCGCCTCGTAGGGACCCCCGAGCCCCACCCGGAGTGAGCCCTGAGAGCAGTCAGATGTGGCCTGACACCCGAGCTCCGGGAACAATGATAACGTTTAGTGAAGACACCAACCGGCAGTTCTTCACCATTTCGGGCCTTGCCCTGATAACTAGTCCCACCGTCCTGGAGAGCCTGGCGGGGCGCCCAAGGTTGATGGGGCTCCCAGGTTTCTACGTGCTCCTGCCCCTACCCCCTTTGGATTTTCTGACTTTTCTGTCGCATTCAGGCTTTGTCCCTGGCAAGGGCAGCGCCGAGCCTGGGGTTGGAAGCTGACCTGACCACCCGCAGGCCTCATGAGGTTCTCAAGGACCCTGTGCCTTGGATGTGGGGGTAGCAGTGACCCTCCTGGACTGGGGTTCCAGAGCCCTGGGCAAGCATCAGCCCCTACCTGCCCCTGCGGAGAGCTGGCTAGAGGGACAGGCTGGGCTGGGTCTTCCACGGGCAGTTTGGGGACAGCATCCCCCTAAAGTCTTCCCCTCTCACTCCTGGCGGCCAGTTGCGGCCTCGCCGGTGGGTTCCCAGGTCTGTGGTACCCGAGCCAGAGGAGAGCCCGTCCTGGTTGACCCAGCTTCTGGGGCGTGTGGTCACACTGGTCTCTGCTTCTGTCCCACCCCCGCTTCCCAGTAACCGCTCTGTACGTGTGTCCAGGAGTTGGGGAGTCCAGGGGCTTGCACTGAGCAGAGCCCACAGTGACTGAAGGGTCCTGCCGTGGTCCTGGGATCTGACCCCACCCATCTCCGTCCACACCGGGCAACGTCCATCAAGTTTCCAGCCCCGTTTCCCCCTCTGGAAAATGGGAGCCTGTGCAGAACTGTGGGTGGGTTCCAAGGGGCGGGGCTGGAGCGATAGCACAGCGTGTAGGGCATTTGCCTTGCACGCAGCCAACCCGGGGTTCGATTCCCAGCATCCCATATGGTCCCCTGAGCACCGCCAGGGATGATTCCTGAGTGCAGAGCCAGGAATAACCCCTGTGCATTGCTGGGTGTGACCCAAAAAGCAAAAAAGAAAGAAAAAAAAAAGGGCAGCACGCGGGCGGGTGGTCAGCCAGGTCCCCGCAGAGGGACGGGCTGCCCGGAGCAGAGACAGGGTCTCTGCACGTTCTGCTGTGTTTCCCCACCACTGTCCTGGCCCTCAGGCTGTCCCTTTGGGGCACCGGTGCTTGGATGCAGGTCCCTTGGGTGCGTGAAAGGCACTGAAACACCCTGGGCCCCGGCCTCGCCTGCACAACCCCTTCTGCCAAGCCTGCCCCTGGCCAGGTCCCTGACCACATCCTGGCCGCCATCCCCTGCCTGATTTCACTCCTGTCAGGCTCAACCAGGGTCAGCTCTGCGTGTCCACCACGTTCTGGCCACCACGACCTCCAAAGGGTTGAGTGCAGGGGGCATCCAGGTGACGCTCACCAGGAGCTAAGCTCACCAGGGCCGGTGTGCAGGGAGGTGGCCTGGGAAGTCCCTGCAGTGACTTTCATTCCCTCAGGAGGGGGGCTCGGGCTACAGAGACAGCACAGTGGGTGGGGCACTTGCCTTGTGTGTGGCTGACCCAGGTTCAATTATTGGCACCAAATAGTCTCCTGAGCCCCACCAGGAGTGTTCCCTAAGCACAGAGCCAGGAGTCAGCCCTGAACCCCGCCAGGAGTGATCACAGAGCCAGGAGCCCCACCGGGTATGGCTCAAAACCAGACTAAGCAGGGTGGTCAGAATGGTAGTATGGCAGGTGAGGCCTTGCCCTGCACAAAGCTGCCCCCGGTTTGATCCCCAGCATCCCATATGGTCCCCTGATCCCCATCGGGAGTAACCTGTGAGTACCGCTGGGCATGGCCCCCAAACAAAACAAAGAAATAAGGTTGTAGGGAGACTCAGGAGCCAAGTGCTCATTCTACGGGCAGAAGTCCAGAGTCCAGCTCCAGCCCTGTGAGGTCACTGGGAGAGACCCACTCCGTGGGAAGGGGCCCACGGTCCAGCCCTGGCCCTGTGAGGTCATCGGGAGAGGATCACCCCGTGGTCAGGGACCCAGGATCCAGTCCCGTGAGGTCCCACGAGCCCCCAAGCACAGAGGCAGGAGAAGCTCTCAGGCCCTGCCAGGTGTGGCCCCCCCAAGTCCCTGCAGTAAGGAAGTGGGGTGACATGCCCCTGCCTCTGTGCTCTGTCCCCAGCTGCGACTTTGGCCACTTCCGCTGGTGAGTGAGCCAGACACGTCTCTAGGTGGGACATTCTGGGACCGTGGCTCACTCTCTCTCTCTGGTTTCCTGGTGCCAGCACCGGGGAGGGGGCGTCCAAGGACCCCCACGGCCTTGGCCTGTACCGTCCCTGGCGTCTGCCTCCCGGTCACGGCCCCTGGGCCTCTGTCCCCTGCCCAGTGAGGAGGATGCTGACCTTCCATCTGATTCCTGAGCTCAGAAGCTGGCCCTGAGCACTGCCAGGTGTGGCCCCAAACCAAAACCAAGAAGAAAGACCCTCACTCTCTTTAACCCTTTCTGCTGGGGGCTGGAGCGATAGCACAGCGGGTAGGGCATTTGCCTTGCATGCGGCCAACCCGGGTTCGACCCCTGGCATCCCATATGGTCCCCTGAACACCGCCAGAGATAGTTCCTGAGTGCAGAGCCAGGAGTAACCCCTGGCATTGCAAGGTGGTCCCAAAAGGAAAAGAAGGAAAAAAGAAGCCTTCTGCCACCAGATACGCATTTCCACAGAACTACGAGAGTGGCAGGGGGCACTGCTGCCTCCCTCGGGCAAAGTGCAGGTGTCCGGGCAGTGCTGGGGCTGAGCCAGGCCAGCACTGGGGGTGGGGCGACCGACCCCTCCTGCCCTGGGTCTGGAGGCTGTCCCACAGTGGACTGGGGACAGTGTGCTGTGCCCCAGCTCAGAGCGACAGGCCAGAGCACCCCCCTTGCACATGGCAGATCCCCTCAGCCCCCGAGTCCTGCCAGGAGTGAGCCCCCGAGCCCCGCGGGGTGTGCCCAACCCTCCCGTCCAATAAATTAAAGTCAAATGGAGTGTCCACTGCCATCCAGGGTTGGTGTCGGTGCAGTGTCCAGGGCCTGAGTGTCCACTGTAGCCCTGGGCTGGGGTTGAGCAGATGCAGTTTCTAGAGACCTGAGTATCCATGTTTGTCCTGGCTGTGGCCTGGGGGACGTGGTTTCCAGGACCCTGAGCGTCCACTGTTCTGAACACGGCTTTTTTTTTTCTTTTTTGGGTCACACCCGGCGATGCACAGGGGGCTACTCCTGGCTCTGTGCTCAGGAATTACCCCTGGAGGTGCTCAGGGGACCATATGGGATGGTGGGAATCGAACCCGGGTTGGCCGAGTGCAAGGCAAACACCCTACCAGCTGTGCTATTGCTCCAGCCCCTGAACACGGTTTCTTGAGGACAGGCAGGCTGGAGGGGTCCCCCACCCGGCCAACTGGTTCCTCGGATTTCTGGGCACCTCCTTCAGGGGTTAGGGTGGCCCCACAGCCCCCGTGTCAGTCACGCGAGAGTCGAGGTAGATGAGCTGATGGCATGACGGACACTGCCGGGCTGGGCTCACCCGTGGCCAGCACGAGCCCTTTAAGCTTTGGATCACTGCTATTTTGACTTGAGGGCCACCCCAGTGGGGTTAGGGGACCCGGGTCTGAGTCTGAGCAAACCCTCATGATTCCTGTTCCCCCATCTATCATTCTGGGCTCAGGGCTTAGTCCTGGCTGAGCCCAGGATCACTCCTGGTGGGCCGGGGAGGACCCAATGGGTGCTGGGATCAAGCTCATTCCCAACGCCCTTCCCCCTCTGCCACTCTGGGCTAATTTTCCTGGTTTTGGTCCTGGGGCCACACCCAGTGAAGCTTATGGGGTTTCTCCTGGCTCTGCACTCAGGGGGCCCTTATGGATGCCGGGGACCACACCAGGTCGCCCGTTTCCCTGACCCGGCCCGTTAGTTTCAATCCCTCCTTCTCGACCCCTTTCGCGGATGCTGCTCTCCGGACCCTTCCCAACGGCAGCTGCAGACTTCAGGGCTCCCAGTGCAGTGCTCGCACCCAGCAGGCCTCACCTTTCAGGGTACCCCCACCAACAGAACTGCTGGGTCCCGGGAACCGGCCACTCAGTGCCGCTGACCAGCGGGCAGTCCCGTCAGCCCCGGGACTTTCATGGGGGGCAACTCCAGAGTCCAGGAAGGTGCAGGAGAGGCCGGGGTGGCGCTTACCAGTTGTTTCCCAGATGTGTGGCTGAGAAGCTGGTGCCCCGCCCCCGCGTGGGTGAGCCGGCTCTGCACCACTGGGCGAGGCAGCAGACAAACCGGAGGAGGCGGTGAGGAGCGGAGAGCGCTGGGGTGAGGCCAGAGAGGCCGGGCCCTGCCCGTCACACGCAGCCCGGAAGCTGCGCTTAGGCGTGTGTGTGTGTGTGCGTGTGCGGGGATCCCGAGGCATCGAGTCAGCCGTCCCCTG